AATAAGATCAAATAACATGTTCCAAAACCAAAACAGTATATGTGGGTTCATAGGTTTTTATTACATATTTATATACATATGACTAATCATACCTGGCTTGGGTTATTTCTTAATGCTTGGGGTGCCAATTGTATGCCAGGGTTTTGAAAATATTTACAATTTGATTAAAAATATATCCTAGTAAAAGTATCTACATTTTTTAAATTATATCATGAATCACTATAGCATTTTTAGACTACAATTCTTCAAAGTTCTTTTTTTCGAAAGTCTCTTAAAAGTGAGAGGTCCTGATCAATAAGCCATACCTTGTATGATCGCTTCATGAAGATATTAATATTTTTCATTCCTCTTCTAAGCTACTTATTGGCACCACAATCCCTATTTGAAAGGGTTGTATTTAAAAGTTGTGATTTTGTAGGTTTTTTAAATTAAAATTCTCTCATCTCTTCGCAAAAGTTTCTGTAAAATAAAAGTTTCAATAGATGCAGCCCTAATGTTTGACAGCTTCAGTCTGTTTTTGAGATCTAAATTCATTTTTTTGTTCAAATTGTGATTTAATTACAGAATCAGCGCTTTTATGAAAAAAGTCCTATTTTTGAAAAAGCCTTATTTCGTTATTGTTTTCCTTGTGATATTGTATGGACCTTATTCTGAAATCTGGAAATACTTGCAATGAAATGCCAACTGGCCAATATTTGGTTATTGAATTTGAATATTTCACATGGGGGGGGGGGGCTTTACCATGAGAAAACCTGGTTTAGCTGGACTAGTGGATTAAATGCAGTACAATGTGCAAACATCTCATGATTTCATCTCATATAATATACCTATACATGTTCTCACAAACAATACTATACTTATGCTGTATTCTTACAAGTATAAGTTCTAATCACTCATGTTGATAACTCTCAAAATCATATCACATGTTTTAGTTATCCCATGATTTAGCCAATATTAGAGTAATATCTTGCTATGATATTTCCGATACCAATGTACTATTCTAGTAATCTTTTGATATCTTAATTGTCTCAAACCAAATAACTAATAATTTTAATAATTTTGGGAAATAATCATGGGATAAATCATATAATATCATACATCACAGTTATAAAGTTCAATTATAAGTCATCATTTCAAGTGATTTCAACGGGATTCTATACATTATAATATGCCTATTCACCATAGCTACATAGTCAGTATCAGGAATATGGTACCGTACAGTACTGTAGACTAAATCAGTACTGTACAGTACCATGAAGATTTAATGAAACCATATTTAACTGTACTGTACTTTGATTTCAGAGTGCAGATTTGTGTATAATTGCTGATGGTTAGTGTCGATTTTGATATTTTATTTTTCATCGAATTGATCTACTTTGCTGACTTTGACATATTCACCATATATAATATGATATCCAACTCGTATGACATAGAAACTCCGCAAATCTGATAAATAGTTCAAATGTCTTGCGTGGGTGCCAAAATCCAACAATATACATATAGCATTGAGGGTACAATACCTAAAAGCTCTCCTTTGGGAAATTATTGGATCATTGCATCCATATGGAATATAGAGTTATATAATATTGCATAGTTTCCGTGTTATACAAGCTTGGTATGGTTGAAATGTCAAAACTGATTGTCTACGGCAAAGTGGTTTCATTCAATGAATCGCAATCAACACTTAATGTCTGCCATTTTGAAAAAGAAGCAAAAGGCCATTATGTTCTCTTGAAATTGACCACTTACAGTACATTTAACTTAAAATAACAGTGAATTAAATCTATCTTCAGTTCTATGCAATCGTATTGTAATATTTACATTTCTATTTCCCTGATGTTTTCTTAAGGAGTGCTGCCTTAACAACATAACATAAAATGCCAAAATAATTTTCAAAACAGATAACTGTTTTTAAAAAATGTTTATCCCATAGACTGGTTAAATAAAAAAATTTCAAGTTCATCTCCCAAATAAAATTATATTTAACCAGAAATAATCACATCATAGTGTTAAAGCAGCACTTCGAATAATAAGGCATTATGGTTGTTTTATTCAAGTTCATCCAAGGTGAAGACTAAACCCTAATAAATCATCATTGCAGCTTATGCTGTACAGTTATCAAATAAAACAAAATAAAGTAACATTGTGTGCATATGATGCACAATGTATAACAATCTAGTGCACAATGTACATTGTACAGGCCTGGACAATGCATAATGCATAATCATTTAACAATGCTGTATATTGTATACTACAAAATCAATTGATGATGCTGTTCGATGTATACTACAAAATCAATTGATGATGCTGTTCGATGTATACTACAAAATCAATTGATGATGCTGTTCAATGTATACTACAAAATCAATTGATGATGCTGTTCAATGTATACTGCAAAATCAATTGATGATGCTGTTCAATGTATACTATAAAATCAATTGATGATGCTGTTCAATGTATACTACAAAATCAATTGATGATGCTGTTCAATGTATACTGCAAAATCAATTGATGATGCTGTTCAATGTATACTGCAAAATCAATTGATGATGCTGTTCAATGTATACTATAAAATCAATTGATGATGCTGTTCAATGTATACTACAAAATCAATTGATGATGCTGTTCAATGTATACTACAAAATCAATTGATGATGCTGTTCAATGTATACTGCAAAATCAATACTCCTATTCGCGATAAGAGTTCAGGTGGTAATTTACATAAATATCTCCCATGATGCATCGCTTTGGAAGGGACAGATTCTCACTGGCCCGCCAAACGAGTCGATTACTCTGAACGTTTCTCAGCTTCTGATCTTCCATCAGCCCTCAAGCATAGTTATATGATCCAATCTATTCAATAATCAGAAAGATAATCGGAGATTCAAAGTAACATTATTTATATTTTTTCGATCTTCGATGGCATCTGAGCAATTTCTGGGATATTAGTGACGTCACTGGAATTGGACGGGAAAGAACCTGGATGTAGACGAAGTTGTACCATACATGAGAGCTCTTCAAACGGGAGGTAGCTAAACTGAACTAAATCAAACGCGTATTGGTATATTGACGATGCTGTTCAATTTAAAAAATGATTGCCATAAAATAAAACCAGTTATACTTGTAATACTGTATGTACAATAACTGGGATTTATAATGTATTGATACAAGGCCACCAATGTAAAATTGTATTATCATATTATTGCTTACAATAAAGCTATCCCAATATAATAATTTATAAACAAAACATGATTGTAGCCTGTGATGCAAATAATAATGAAAATGGTACAGTTAGTGGACAATGAACAGCAAATTCCTTTATTTACGAGTTACCAAGAATTTGGTATGCAACTATTGGATCATATTGATTTTACAACTGACTTGCCATCTTGAAGTTCAAGAAGGGAATATAATCCTAAATTGATTATTTTTTGATGATTATGTTACAGTCCATGACATTCATTTTCAATTATGGGGCAAGTAAACCTTAAAACCAGAACTTTTACACTTGTGTTTTCTCAATCAAAAACAAAAATGATATAAAAATAATATGTTTTATCTACAGAACTGTGTTTTTAGTAAGGACAACAAATGTTCAGTTGCACTTTATAGGTCATAATTGACAATATTTTGCAAGAATTGTTCAGCTCTGCCCAGTATGTTGATGTTTGGAGCTACACAAGTAAGTCTTTGTGTGCAGTACTTTACTTGTAATGATGATGTCTTTCAAACAATGGAGGTCTTCACGCAACTGTTTACTCCATATTCATCATTAATAATCTGTCCACCTAGTGCAAGAGATCAGCTAGATGGGCAAAAGATGGCAGGTAAAAGTCAGGAGCTGGGGACTCATGAGACACTAAATCCTGCATAGTTGATACTCCAGTTAATACGGCCAAGGAATCTATACCTATATTCACAGCAAAGGGAATATCAGTCCTTGAGCTGTCTCCAACCATCACAGTCTTTGATTTTTGAACGCATGGATTTTTGGCTACCAGGCAGTCATATAGATAGCTATGTGGCTTGCCGATAACGATGGGGTCACGTCGTGCAGCTGAAGATACAGCAGCAAGAATTGCACCAGTAATTGGAACCCTTCTGCCAGGTTCTATCGTAATACCACATTCCTGATCATTTGTTGCCATAAATAAACAGTCCTCTCGACTTGCATAACTTGTGGCTTTTATCAGCTTGTTGAAATTCACATGAATATCCATACCCACAATAACAGCTGCAACTTCAGGATCAAGATACTGCTTCTTCAGCTCATCCGGGTCAAAGGTTATCGGGGTGTTATCCGGTCCAACACCTAGATTCTTAATCCCAGCTAGATTAAGCTCTTCTTTCATGCCTGTAGATCCAAGCACATACACCTTCCCATCAATTTTAGCGATGTCCTTGAGATAAATGGCGGAAGCATAAGCGACTGCAAATATCTCCTCAACATCTGCCTCAAAACCGGCAAGAGTGCGAAACTTCTCAAGGTATGAGTATCGACAATGTTTGCTGTTGTTTGTCACAAAAAATAATCTTTTTCCACATTTTCTCAAATTATTTATCGCTTTATCAATTTTGGGAATGTTAGTGTGATGATCAGTTTCCCAAAGCACACCATCACAATCGATCAGAAAGTTTTCATACTTGTCCATAAAACTATTGATGTTTGAAGAATTTACCAGTACAGGTCGATGATTAATGTTTTTCTCGATAGGATGTGGATTAGTTTGTCTTTCACTAGAGTAGAATTGTCCAGGTTTCACTTTCAGAAAATTTGCGAGGTCATTTTGACCCTCTAGGAATTTTCCATTTAGTCTTTTACAGATTCCTCCAGATTTATAGCTCAAATTTCGCAACATTTTGGATGAATTTAATCTTTCAGTATTCCGACATAACAATATGTAGTTTTAGCATACTATATCACTGTAAATTGGTATAAAATACCATTTTTCTTTCCCATTTTATTTGTTTTTATTTTTAATCTGCAAAAAGTAAGATGGCTGTCACTCGTTAGAAAACACATTCCGAAATTTCTACAACAAATTCTATTTCCGATTTCCTCCAGGTTTGACCCTTTGATTTTATCTCAATAAAATAAAGTGAATATTTTCAAAGTGCAAGTGCAAATATGTCATGAATTCGTTCATCATATAGACATTATTTCTATTTCGAAAATTTCAAATTCTTGACCCGGAAGTGAACAGTTTGGCACCATCTTCGTTTCAAATTTGAAAATGGGGAGAAAAGTGACTCTAGCAACGTGTGCTCTCAACCAATGGGCAATGGATTTCGAAGGAAATATGAATCGAATACTCAGGAGTAAGTATAGATCGATATAGAACTTATACAAATTTATAGAAGTGAAAAATACCAGAAAATTCTAAAATTTTGATTTACAGTCTCTTACACAATCTAAATGTGTTATTTATGTTCTTACTTAAACCACATCTACATCAATAAAAATCTGCAAAAAGCTAATAAGCCCATTTAGGTTCAGCTAGAAAATAACATTTTGGGAAAAAATTACTGTACCTGCACACATTTTATCCCGTGTCAGGACTATAGTCCTGTAACGAGCGCATTCTTTTGCCTGTACGATTACAACTTGGGAGAATTATCTACGCCCCTTACACTTAAGATACCTACTTCAATAGATTCCTGGGTATTTTGGTATTCTTTTTGTGTAGTTGAATCCACAATTGTTTGGGTATATCGGCAGAATGGGAACATTTTTCTTTTTCATCGAGAGATATTCCATCACTTTCCAAGATGGTGGTTGGATTTAAAAGGGGATTCCCCGTTTGACTGACCCGGAAGTGGCCGGGATAACCATTAAATGGAAGAATTTGACGGTTGAAACAAGTTAAATATTACACGCAAATATTGCGATCAAAAATGAAATTTCTTTGTTCTGCCGATAAACTCAGAAAATTATGGATTCAACTACACGAAAATAATGCTAAAATACCAAGGAATCTTTTGAATAGGTATCTTAAGTGTAAGAAACGTAGAAAATTCTCCCATGTTGTAATCGTACAGGCAAAAGAATAAGACGTTCGCAGGACTATAGTCCTGGTACGGGATAACGCACATTATTCTGGTACAAATTTTATATTTGTAGGTTTTGAATTGGCTAAAGAAAAAGGTGCCACATACAGGCTTGGCCCTGAACTTGAAATATGGTATGTAAAAATACACTTCCACCCTGACTATTGCATGATCTTACTATTTTATGAAAACTCAAAAAACTACGGTATATTGTTTTGAGGAATGGCAAAGATCTTCAGCCATTTTCTACAATTTATTGAGTTTATATATACATGTATACCTCAGAGTATGACATTTAGCAAAGACAAATGACAAAGCGGTTGATATCTGTAACAAATTCTTACAACCTCTCATCTTTAATTTTCCAACGAACGAAGTTCGGTAGGGATATAGTGAAGCCCTCCGTCCGTCCGTCCGTCCGTCCGTCCGTCCGTCCGTCAGTCAGTCCGTCCGTCCGTCCGTCCGTCTGTCCGTCCGGAAGATAACTCAAATACTAGTAGACGGATTTTCTTCATATTTAGTGGAAAGATGTATATTGGTGAATAGTTTTACGCAAAAAAAATTTTTTCAAGATGGCCGCCGCTTTAAAAATGACGGGACTTTTTCGCAAAAATCATAAATTTTTCATTCTAAACCAAAGTAATAAATATTATTGTTTGAAATTTTGGTAGTATATTCACAACACTTATCTATTTCACATATATTCCGTGTTTTTCATCCTGACCCCCAGGGGCCGTGTATGGGGGGTCAGGAAAACAGAAATTTTCGCTTATTTTTAAATCTTTCTAAAGTATAGCTTTATTATACTCAAATGAAAGGCATTTAAGAGTAGATTGCAAATATTGTATCTTTTTTCTGATTCGAGCCTCGTAAAATTCAAAATGGCCGTCTAATGTACAATTTCGCAATAATTTTTTGATCCCTTCAAAGTATGGCTATATAATACTCAAATTGAAGGAACTTTGGAGTAGATCACAATTATGGTATTATTTTTCAGATTTGTACCTCAGAAAATTCAAAATGGATTTTTCAAGATGGCCGCCGCTTTAAAAATGACGGGACTTTTATGCAAAACTCATAGATTTTTCATTCTAAACCAAAGTAATTAATATTATTGTTTGAAATTTTGGTAGTATATTCGCAACATCTATCTATTTCACATATATTCCGTGTTTTTCATCCTGACCTCAGGGGCCGTGTATGTATGGGGGGGTCAGGAAAACAGAAATTTTCACTAATTTTTAGATCTTTCTGAAGTATAGCTTTATTATACTCAAATGAAAGGCAATTAAGAGTAGATTGCAAATATTGTATCTTTTTTCTGATTCGAGCCTCGTAAAATTCAAAATGACCGTCTAATGTAAGATTTCGCAATAATTTTTCGATCCCTTCAACGTATGGCTATATAATACTCAAATTGAAGGAATTTTGGAGTAGATCACAATTATGGTATTATTTTTCAGATTTGTACCTCAGAAAATTCAAAATGGCTGCTTTGCAGGAATTCGCAATTCGCAATTCTAAATTTTTCAATTTTAACCAAAGTAATGAGTATAATTGATTGGAATTCGGTAATTGATATTTTGTTCGTTGGGATTTGCTACTCCGCGGAGTTGCCATTATCTAGTTATTGAATATTTTCAGTGGCTATGGATGTTCGGATCATTTCTATGAAAGTGACACATTCCTCCACTCTATGCAAGTGTTGGCCTGCCTCATTCAGTCCCCACAGTGTCAGGACATCTTATGTGATGTCGGAATGTAAGTACATGTACATGTTTATCCTTTATCTTACATCTTGTTACCTTCAGAGTTTTTCCAGCAGTCTTTTGGAATAGCATGGATGAGGGCATAGAATATGGGTATATAATGTTAGAAGGCAAGTATAACCTACATCTGTAAGGGTTGTTCAAAAAGTTGGGCACAAATACTGTATGTCTAATGATGAAAATGATAAACCAATCTTGTTCTTAGTTTGCCCCGTCTTATTCCTTTGCACTTATTAAGGTTTCATTTATTTATGACTACTACTTTACGTGCTCCATTTGGAGTAGCTGGGATGATACAGGGATAATTGCCTTGCCAAATATTTTACTAAATTTTAACATTTTTTGACAAACCTGTGAAGATTATTTAGTCTATGAAAGTATCATATCCTCTTTGCCATAAGTTGCCTCACCTATTTACATTGCCTCACCTATTTCAATTTGCCTCGCCTATTTAAATTTGCCTTGCCTATTTAAATCTGCCTCACCTATTTAGATTTGCCTCACCTATCATTTCAACTGCTATTTGGAATACAAATTCCAACCAGGGGAAATTCTTTTTTCATCATCTCAAAATACCCTTAAAACAAAATGTTGAGATTTATGAATTTCCAATGTATTCATACATCTCCATCAAAATACCCTTGATATACTATACTAATATACTATACTAATTGAGCTAAATAAATGCAGAACTTGATGATTTGGTTATGTGAACAGGAAATTACGTGATGTGGTCAAATTCATATTTAGATTGATGACGCACTGGAAATGATATGGTTAAAAATGTGTAGAGACTAATGTGTCGTGTAATGACTTTTAGAGTAAGTAAAAGCTTATAGACCATGGACATTGTGCAAACATTGGCATCTTGCAGTGTAGTCTAGAGAGCCAAATGTAATAATTTTTTATCAGGAAGTAAGCCCTAATTATAAGTAGACATCTTACAACCTTTATTTGAATCTGAATCGTTGAAAATCAAGTTTTACATTTATTTACAGATTATTTTCACTTGTGCCCCTCCCCAGGCCCTTTTACTTTTCTACCTCTCTTCAGAACTAAAAAGTGATTTTTGAAGAAAGAAATACGATGCTTGAGCAAATGTTATATTTTATAAGATAAAAATGTTATTTTGTCATTAAAGACAAATGTGTCAAATATGTCAGTAGTAAAATAAAACAAACTTTGAGGCATGCCAGTCCTAATTATTTACTTTCAGATCATACTGAATATGTTTCTTAAATATCTATATGGAATAAACAGAAATTAGATAATATACAGTGTTGTAAAAAATGGAAACCCTGCCACTATTTTCCTCATATCTTTGTCATCCTTAGGATTTACTCCCTGATATTTGGCACATCTGTACATCATTCGACTTACAGCACTTAAAACAACATGCTCCAGTGGCCACTATTGGGCTGTAGGCAAACTTGCGCACGTCATTCAAAATGTCCCAATGTGACTTTACCTGTGGTGATACGCCAAAGATGAAGTGTTTGAGAATGATCTCAGGACAATTTTAAACCTCAAAATGGAGATTATTCATGTCATTCAGGCCATATCTGCTGAGGAATGCAGTTGGTTCATTGACAACTTTGCAGGTTTGCCTACAGCGCAATAACGGCCACACCTAGAGCATGTTGTTCATTCAAATTGCTGTAACATTTTGACTGTCGGTCTGATGGTCATGAAATACAGTAGGCTTGTAGGAAGGGTGTTCAAAAAAACGCAACCCAAAGAAATCGCTATATCTTGGAAAATACTTATCTAATTATGTTCATTTTTGCAGGAAAGAAAGAAGAGACTGTGTATGTATAGCTCATGTTGTTAGTTAGTTGTAAAACATGATGCCTTGGACTGGTCAAAAGACATTAGTATTAGAAAGAAACGAAAAACACAGTCAGAGATGACTGCCGCAGCAATTTGACCAAATAATTTTCTAACTATAGTGTTTTTGCTATTTAAATTTGGCACAAATCATCTACATTGAATGTATCACTCCAGGGTCTTTACAGTATTGGTCGAAATGCTTTCAAAACTCAGTCAAACACCCTTGTTCAGCCAGACTTAAGAAGGCATTTTGACCATGACTGTAAAGTCCCTAAATTGATTTTAATGAAACTCCCCTAATTCACTACACATAATATGAAGATAATTTGTGTCAAATCTGAAGTGCCAAAACACCATGGTTAGAAAGTTATTAGGGTTTATTGCTCTTTCTAATACTAATGTCTTTTGACCAGTCCAAGGCATCATGTTCTACAACTAACTAACAGCAGGAGCTATACACACACAGTCTCTTCTCTCTTTCTTGAAAAAATGAAAAAATGAACATAATTGGATAAGTATTTTCCAAGATATAGCGATTTCTTTGGGTTGTGTTTTTTATTTAACACCCTGTACAAATGTGGTTAATAGCGGGGAGTAATTTCTTAAAATGACAAATATATGAGAATATAAATGTAGGGTTTCCATTTTTTGACCACCCTGTACTTTAATAGGTAATTACATTAAAATCTAATCTGAGAGCTACTGGGATGGGTCAAAATTGTTCACATTTCAAGGTTTCTTAAAATGTGAATCAATGGGATAGCAAAATTGAGACCAAGAAAATTGTTCACATTTCAAGCTTTCTTAAAATGTGAATCAATGGGATAGCAAAATTGAGACGAAGAAAATTGTTCACATTTCAAGCTTTCTTAAAATGTAAATCAATGGGATAGCAAAATTGAGACCAAGAAAATTGTTCACATTGATGAGAAATCTTTGGATTGAGAGGTGTTGCGTGTAAATTAAATATATACAGGGTGTCAAATAAGTCACGTCCCCCCCTCTACAGCCAAAACCAAGATATTTGGTACCAAGTGTGATATATCATTGGAAAGGTCTTCCAAAGTTACGTTGATTGGCATATGTCTGACACATGTCAATCAATCTCACAAATTTTTACATTGTATCAATTGAGGAGACCATAGGCCTAGAAACATGGCAATTTGGCGTATTTGGCAGGATTTTAAAAATCAGATATAAGAAAGGTCAAAGGATTGAAACTTAATTAAACATGTATATGGCAATGACTTTAACCAATTTCTGGATAGGGTTAGATGTGTAGAAAATAGAGGTACAAGGAAAATGCTGAAAACCTTTTTTTAACAAGTGGAATGCGAAAAAGATGAACTTTTTGACGTATTTCTGAGGTCATATCCTTGTCATTTTGACGCAAAAAAGCTGCTTAAAGGACTATACGTTAGCCATAAAGGACATCATAAAAATATAGGTAAATTTCATCCAAAATACTTGAGAGTTGGTGAGTTAACTTAACTTTGGATGATCTTTTCAATGGTATATCACACTAGGTATCATCTATTAAGGTTTTAGCTGTAGCGGGGGGGGGGGGGGCGGGACTTATTTGACACCCTGTATAATACTCTTGTCCATTTTTCAGGAATTCCTGGTTATGTGGTTTCCTTTATTACGATTGGCTCAGCTTACCTCTTATCAAGCCATATGATCTCGCAATATGTGTAGGCTGGGATTGATCGCTTATAATAGGCTAGAAAAAATAATTTTGTATTTTGTCTCCATTAGGTTATCAATGAGAGGAGACTATATTGGAGATCACAAATATAAGGAAATAGTGGATTTCTCTCAGTTTTAGCAATTTGTCCTTCTTCCCATGATTTCAATATTAAATGTCATACAATGAAATACAGTTTCAAATTAAGGTTTATATAATGATAGGCCATTCAATATGGTAAAATTCAGCATGAGTTGAACACAATGTGAGTGCATGTAGACTGACATTCTGTTAACGAGTGTGGAAGTTTCACCATATTGAATGGACTATCATTATTTATTGAGATTCAGACGTAAAAAATCAAAAGAAACATTGTTTAACTTTTTGTCATTCTCTTGGCAAAATTCATCAGTGGGCATCATCAGACAGAGCCATAGATGTGACGTGACAATACAATGTAAAGTCCCGGATGTGCGCAATGCACAGACGCGCATGTATGGAGAATTATAGAACGGCTATGCTGCATTCTGATTGGTTGAGAAACTTAATTAAAGTCATGTCTGAATTCATTTTAAGAAACTGCACAGTTTTGGCTCCTTTGAAAATGATTTTAATTAAATTCCAGGAATGATGATGGTTTGAAATGATTTTTAGGGGTTTATTCACATCTTTTCTTCTCGCTAGAAAGTAAAGCTAAGTAAGCTGAGGTAAGAATTCTTGTACAAGATCCAGTTCAGCCTTTATCTGCCAAGTAAAACATATTTCTAATAAGAGTACAACTTGCAAATGGCATGAATGGAAATCTATAGTTTATAAACCTGTACTTTTCTTGACAATATTTTCTAATTGCAATTGAGGTCTTTTATTGATTAAATGATGATAATTCTGTCTGAATAATGGCAACTTGCACGCAAAAAAATTTCTCGGGATCTCCAGTTAGACTTGTTATAAGGTGGCTGCCTGTGGAGTAGAGAAGAATTGAAATGTAAATGTAATATGAAATGGATAATGAGAGAAAATTGTAACTGTGAACCTCCTTTGTATTTCTGAACAAATTTTAATCTTCTCATTTGCTTGAACTTTTTTGCCGACAGCAATGCTTGCATACAAGATTATGAGAAAGTTATAAAGATTAGCAATAACTTAATCCTTAAAATTTGGTTGCATTTTTGTACATTGTTCTTTTTTGACCATGATTAAGATTTTTATCTAAAAATTAGCTTAATAATAGCGAATTCACTTGAACCGCGGTTATACAAAAATATGGCCTTGAAGAATGATGTCATAACCAATAGGTGAACTGGTGATGTTTACTAGATTGGCCTATTGTGACCTCACTAACTTAAAACCACTGCCAAAGGTGTAAGATAATACATACATTGAACTAAGGTCACTAAAGGGCACGTCTTACATAATTATTTACATGATTGTGTGTACGTAGAGAGTGGGCTTTATTGTATGGCAAGAACTTTTGAGATTTTGTTTGTGCTCATGTATACTGAAGGACTATGTCTTACCTAATTCACAACTAATTATTTACAGCAACTTTGAGATTGTCATTGTGCTTATGAGTATAGCACATTCTATGTAACTTCATGTTAATTATAAGACAATGGATGGGTGGAGATTCAGTTTTGAAATATCCTGCTAACAATACTGTGGTCAAGTGTGTAAAAACATCAGCTGTTAATTAAGGATTTAAGCCCAAGACTCAATGCATTGTTTGATGAATCATACCATGAAGGTGTTGTTTCCAAACCTTTTCATGACCGCACATCGGGAATGCAAAGTTTAGGAAACAACGCCTGAGTGGAATGAAGCAGCTACAATGCATTGAGTCTTGGGCTTAAATTTTTATCACACATTGCAATTTTTTCTTCAAAATAATCCAAAAGAAACGAAATCACTGAAAGAACACATTTTCAATGACATTTTTTACAAGAGTCAAGTTGACAAGTCATCAAATCCAATCTGAAAAGTCCATTCATCACCATTACAATGAGTGACCTTGCATTTGTTATTGATATTTCACACACTGTCCATTATGTGAATGCTCTGTTCTGATTGCCTGGAATGGGACACACCTTGGCTAGCTATGTGTGAATTCCATTTTGAGCTGCTTTATGTATGATTGTTGCACATCCTCCTTTTTGACTTAAGAGGGAAAAAATCTGCACATTCTCTGGGCCTCAAGACAAAGTATGTATTAAAGTCCTATGTGTGTATGTTTAATCACTATTTTCCTATTCTGTATTGGCACTCGACTTCGTCTCGTTCCAATGCGGAATTTCTCGAGCAGAATATATCCTGTATTGCACTTCAAATCATTCAATAACTTATAATATTTATGTTTAATCTAGAACTTTATATCCAGATAAGGTTTCTACTATGTATTATACTGCACTACTATATTACTATACTGCTGATTTAAGATTTGACCTTCAATGACCTTCTCAATGTCAAAAAAGGTCTTTTTTCAACATGCTCAAATTGACCAAATTTTTTTAAAAATCATCTACAAGTTCCCAGAAGTTCAAGTCTGACTTTAGATTTGAGATTTGACCTTCAATGACTTTCTCAAGGTCAAAGAAGGGTCAAAAAGGTCTTTTTCAACTTTTTTTTAAATTGACAATTTTTTTTCAAAATGATTTACCTTTTCAAAATCATCTACAAGTTCAAATCTGACTACATATTTGAGATTTGACCTTCTTAAGGTCAAAAAATGGTTTGACCTTCAATGACCCTCTCAAGGTCAACGTTAAAAAGGTCCATTTTCCAACTTGCTTTAAATCGACCCTTTTTCAGAAATTCAAATCTGACTTAAGATTGAACTTTGTGGCGACGTTTTGTCATGTTAATGCCTTGTTAAATACTTGAAATTCAAACTGCATCATTTAAAACCTGATAAATATGAATACTATATATAGTCTACATCCTGGTCCTTAAGTTACATTTGTGGTCATGTTTTCATCTTCTTAAAGCTTTTCATAACATGACATTTATAAATAACATTATGCTTTTAATTTCCACTTTGCTCTGATAACATGAAACACTAGAACTATATCACTTTATGGTTGATAAGCTGAGTCGGCACATGTGAGGTTTCAAGAGATTTCAATCGTCGGATTTTGTATCACAATTCTTGTATACTGATTTGAATTTGACTCTCATAATATGCGACTGATCTTTTATGTATTTTGCAGACTTGTTGATGATACCCTTTACTCAGGAAATGTTTTCAATAGTCTACAATACATTTGGTTCATCTATTCTTGAGAAAATACTTGTCAAAAAGCGGTTCACCTTTTATGGACACCGGATATACATGTAGGAAGAAATTAATGATATTTCTTCATGATGCACTGGTCACATGAGTCACAATAGCCCACCACTTCCAAAACTACAATGACACCGAGTGTAATATACATGCCCGTAGCCAGCTTTTTGTAAGGGGGGGCTCGAACCTCCCCCTCCCCGCAACCCCCCCCCCCCCCCAAATAAAAAATTCCCCATGCTAAACCAAGCCCCTTTGTATTGTAAAGGACAGTGGCGGATCCGGAAGCTAAGAAGGGGGGACCCACACTTCAAGGCAGGAAAAAATATCCGCGCTTGCGCGTAAAAACTTTTTAGGGCCCTAAAACCAAAACTTGGACCAACAATTAGGAAATCTACGGCACGTTTTTTGAAAATTTGGCCTAACATTAAAAAAATAAGGCCCAATAAAATCAAGTAATGCCCAAAAAGGACCAGTCAAAAGAAAAAATTTTAGGGCCCTAAAACCCAAATTTGGCCCAAAAAGGTCAAGTTATGCCAAAAAGGCCCACTTAAGAGGCCCTACAATATTTTTGGGCCAACATTTTTTTCTGGGCCCATCCTTTGGCCGCGCAGAAAACCTTTTAGGGCCCTAGAACCAAAATTTAGAAAATTTATGGCACGTTTTTTGAAAATTTGGCCTAAACTTGAAGGTCCAAAAAGGTCAAGTAAAAATGTCAAGTAAAGGTCAACTAAAGAGGCCCTACAATATTTTTGGCGCAACATTTTTTTCTAGGGCCGCGCGTGAAATTTTAAGGGCCCTAAAACCAAAATTCGGGCAAAAATTCTGAAAATTTATGGCCCGTTTTTTGAAAAGGCCTTAAATCGAAAAAAATAAAGCCCCAAAAGGTCAATTAATGCCCAAAGAGACCCACTAAAAAGGCCCTACAATATTTTTGGGCCAACATTTTTTTCTGGGCCCATCCTATGGCCGCGCGGAACTCCTTTTAGGGCCCTAGAACCAAAATTTAAGCCTATATTTTGGAGATTTATGACCCGTTTTTTGAAAATGTAGCCTAAAATTGAAAAATAAGGCCCAAAAAGGTCAAGTAAAGGCTAACTAAAGAGGCCCTACAATATTTTGGTCCAACATTTTTTTCTGGGCCCATCCTAGGGCCGCGCGTAAAATTTTTTAGGGCCCTAAAACCAAAATTGGGGCCTAAATTTTGAAAATGAATAGCCCGTTTTTGAAAATTTGGCCTGAAATTGATAAAAAAAATAAGGCCCAAAAGGTCAAGTAATGACCAAAAAGGCCCACTAAAGAGGCCCTACGATATGTTTGGGCCAACATTTCTTTCCGGGCCCATCCTAGGGCTATGTTTAACAAAACACAAAGAACGATCATAAAAATAGGGAAAGGGGCACAAATATGTCCATGAAAAAAGTGGGCCAACTAATAAATAAACTAAATAATGCCCAAATTCGAAAAACAATACACAGTAATGCCAGTTTTAAAATCTTAATTGCCCAGTGAATGTGGGGAAGAGCAAGTTTTTCTTCAAGGAAGCAAAAAGGTAGGTCCACATTTTTTTCAGGAGATATCAGGGGGGGGGCTCGTCCGAGCCCCCAGAGCCCCCCCTGGCTACGGGCCTGATATATCATTGGAGTCAAGTGTAATATATCATTGGAAATAAAATTGAAACAACAAGGTTTACAGCCGTTGTTGAGATTTTTTCTATTATGGAAGTATTTTTACAGTGTATTGTGATTTTGCTTTATCCCAAATGGCCGTATCACAGAAAAACTGATCCCATTCAATTTTTCAAATGTTACCATGGATATACATGTATTATTTGTTTGCTGGGTAACCTCTTTATGTAAATAACTAATTAATGTTGCTGAAGTGTTTGGCAAAATAAAGGAATGTAAAAACTGTGAAATCTTCCTTCCAGGCCAGTGATGCACAAAAATGTGGCCTACAATTGTAGAGTATTCTTCTATAATAAGTAAGTATGAAGATAAATGAAAAAAGTGTAAATATAAATTGAGTGAGTGTTAATGTATAAAGTAAGTGTAAAAAAACTGTTATTGTGAATAAAGTTAGTGTCAATACCACAAATCATCCACATCACAAAAGTGATAAGGGTTTATTTTACATTTTGAAATATATTTCTATCTTCGCAGGAAGATTCTCCTTATTCGTCCCAAGAAACATTTATGTGACGATGGCAACTATCGTGAAACACGCTGGTTCTCTGGCTGGACAAAAATTGGAAAAACGGAGGAATATTTTCTGCCAAGAATCATTCAGGAAGTTACAAATCAGGTATATTTATCAGCTATTGATTCTGATTTTATTTTGGTGCCGATTTTTATCAGGCATTTTCTTCATCAATAACATAAGTACTGCTAAATTTTCAATAAATTCCAGAAGAAATATTTTTGTTTGTGCCACTAATACATTTATAATTTTTCAAGCGTTATCGTTCTCCTGAAGGAATCATCATCCCAGTGTAAGATATTTGAAATGTACTGGATGTCTTGATAACTCCAGACACTGTAATGTGTGAGGAGCTGTACTCGTAAATATTAAGAATGATATTAAAACTGTATCCTATAATATCCAAATGGGCAAATATTAACAATTAATTGGAAAACTCCGGAAAACTCCCAATTTTATTAATTTGGAAAACTTAAAAATTTTCCCCCATTTTTCACTTTGAATCCTTTATAACTTCCAATAACCAATCCATTATAGTCTAAAATTCATCCGGGATCTTGTTGGAGATAATATACTTGAGATTGTAAGGAATACATTGGTAGGTCAATTGTACATACATAATAATGTATTGCTTGCAATATTTTCAACTCCTATAGATATGATTCTCCCTTTAATCAAGATTGTACGAGAAGGAAGCTTTTTCTGCAGATGTGTTCTTTGGAAAAAGTAATTTTAAACCTTATCTCATCTATATTGTCAATTGAAGGTATCTAGTGTTTCAAGTTAAATCACAAATCTGATATCATCTTTCATAATTTTGGCTTTTTATCTTATGAAACACAATCAGTAAGGAAATCTGGAAATAAACAAGTTTGTTTCATTTGAATTTGATTCCCTGTACTTTGTTGTGTATTTAATGTTTGTTCATTTTTTGATGTTGAAACTCATTGTAACATTTACAGTAAATCCTGTAAAAGGAACACCTCTCTAATTGGAATATCTTTATAAGTGGAAACATTAAGAAGAACACTTTCAGTGACTTAATGTTAAAGGAATATTCCTTGCCAAACCATCTCTCTCCTCATATGGTAGCTATAACCATAGATATGCTTGCCATGTTTAGCAAAATACGCAAAAATGTTTTGATATGGTCAAATTTGATCACTTAGAAATGTGATGCTCAATTCCAGTAAGCTGCCATCTTTTTCACACAGGAAGGAAGTGATGTCATCGACTCTCAACTTTGCATATAGCATTAAATGAGAAGCTATTAAGAATTACAAAACCAGCTAAATATTCTTTTTCAACTTTGTATCTTATTTAATCCTTCTGAAAATCTCTTCTTTTATTCTAAGTTGACAAGCCCTGAAAATATTTTTGCACAGAAAGTAATGATCACTTATCTAGAAGTGATTTTGTGCTACTTTCCTATACTGTTATGGGCAAGGTTATAGAAGTTGAGAGTTGATGACATCACTTCCTGCAAGAAATCTTAAAAGATGGCTGCTCACTGGAAATAAGCACTAGATTTTTAAATGATCAATATTGACCATATTAAAACATTTTCCCATGTTTTGCTAAATATTGAAACTATATATATGATTATAGCTACCATATCAAGAGAGAAAGGGTCTGGCAAGGAATATTCCTTTAAATGAACCCCTGTAAATGAAAAACCTTATTATTAGAGTTACCAAAGGTGTTCCACTTATATAGATTTTATTTATCATAAAACATGGTCACCTGATTTAGGGAGTATCATCTCAGAAAGATAAATCCCTGAACTAGAACCTTCCATCTTATAAATTCATGCTTTATAGTGTTGATACTGGATAGAAGTGAGTTATTAAAAGTCATTTTAATTTGCTTTTATACACCAGTGGGACATGATACATATTAAGTGTTATATCAAAGAACTGGATATTTAAAGGGTCTGGCCATCTTGTATGAAAACAAAACCCTTTAAGGTAAAAGGCCTAAGAACATGTTCAATCAGAATTTGATCTTTTTAGTGAAAGCTTAAAAATATATATTTTTCTCCTAAGATAATTTGATATGAAGAGTTTAGTTTTAATCTCTGTCATCAAAAAGGAATGGGGATTCTCAAGCGCCTACTTATTATGAAAGTGAAAAATGATCTAAAGCACATTTAAGGGGAACATATTTTATTCCATTCATATTTTCAGTTTCTAATTACATATTGTGAATATCTAGCTTTATTCCATAGTTAGCATGATATTCATAGGATAACATGTCAAAATAAAACCGGTATTTTTGTAATCAGGGGTAAAGTATGATATTTTTGACAAATTTTCACTTAACCATAGCATACGGTGTTTAAGCCATGACATACGGCGCTGTATGCTATGAATTATGGATTTTTGCTACTTCAGACTCAAAACGAGGCTAAGTGTCAATATCGCAGGATCGTTTGGAAAATCCCAATTAAATAACTTAATTTCCGAAGATTCTGATGATGACTTTAATTATGGAATAAAAAGAACATCCTATGATTAACTTGTGATATGATTTTAATCCACTCATGGATATTGATATCTGCACTCTCTCGCTACCCTCGCTCATGCAGATATCATATCCATTCGTGGATAAAAATCATATCACTCATAAATCATAGAATATCCTCTATATCTGTTATATTGCACTAAATTCCTATCATGTGAAAGCGTTACCTCAAATAAAGGTAACCAAAAGCTTTGAAAATCAAGTGAAATCTCAGGTTTAAGACCTCTTGTTTTAACCAGATGCCCAGTGACATATATCTACTGGTTGAGGCCGCGCTTAATCATTTTTATTGTTATTTCTTGTTTTGTTGTAGAAAATTGTGCCTTTTGGAGATGCTGTGATATCCACCGTAGACACATGTCTCGGCTCTGAGATGTGTGAGGAACTGTGGTCACCTCAGAGGTAAGGATATAGACCCAACCAGTGAATTACTGCACTTTTTCATCATGATGTAATTTCTACAGTTTTTTTAAGTGCTTGAGAAAATTGACAAACATTGAAGTCTGCTAAATTTGACATCATGAATCTAACCAATACCATAGCTATCTTAGTTTATCAAAATGGTTTGGTCTGATGTCACATTTGACAGATTTCATTTGTTCACATTGAGCCCACTTGTCTGTTCATCTGTCCATCTGCCTGTCAACACATTAGTAGCTAATTCTAAATCCTCCCCAACAATTGAAATGAATATTCACTTTTAATATGTGTCTATGTAAAGTCTTTAATTCTCCCATAAATGGTGTCTCAAAAGCTCTTTTTGCTCATAACCCTACAAAATTGAAAAATATGGTAGTCACTTTTTATTGGTTGCAATTTTTTATTTATACTTATTCTTCAAATTGTTTTTGCATTCCAGTCCACATATTGACATGGGTTTAGATGGTGTAGAGATATTTACCAACTCCAGCGGCAGTCATCACTCCCTCAGGAAACTGAACCAACGCATTGATCTAATCCGTTCAGCCACCTCTAAGGGTGGCGGCATCTACCTGTATGCTAATCACAAAGGCTGTGATGGGGAAAGGGTCTACTATGATGGCTGTGCTATGGCATCTATCAATGGACAAATAGTTGCTCAAGGCTCACAGTTTTCAGTTCAAGATGTGGTATGTATTTTTAAGCATACAGAATATCAGTAAACAATAAATACATGAATACCAGTATACAATAAATACATGAATATCAGTATACAATAAATACATGAATATCAGTATACAATAAATACTTGAATATCATGCAGTATACAATAAATATGTGAATATCAGTATACAAGAAATACATGAATATCAATATACAATAAATACATGAATATCAGTATACAATAAATACATGAATATCAGTATACAATAAATACATGAATATCAGTATACAAGAAATACATGAATATCAATATACAATAAATACATGAATATCAGTATACAATAAATACATGAATATCAGTATACAAGAAATACATGAATATCAGTATACAAGAAATACATGAATATCAGTATATAAGAAATACATGAATATCAGTATATAAGAAATACATGAAAATCAGTATACAAGAAAAACATGTAAATTATATCTGAAATGGATTTTATGTAAACGATAGTTATGATCTCATTGAACAAAGAATAGGGATATAAAGAATCATATTGGCTGGAATTTGATACATCATGACGCTTTATTTGTTAATTTGGTCCACTTCAATAGGATGATGCCTTATGAGCATTGAACCTCACCTCAGGTCAAAAATCTCACATTTTTGCATTAACAACTTTCTTTCTGCAACTTTCTACAGGTAAGTTGCATGACAAATGCACGTAGGCTGGTAGATACACAACTCAGGTGTTTTTCCACGTTATTTTTCTTCAGATTTCGTTACCAGCTTTTTGCACTGCATATGTGTTGCATGATTGAATGTAATTTAAGAATACTTCAAAGCACTTGTTTCTGTACACGTTATATGTCTTATAAATTGAGAATAGAATTTAATTTAAGTCTGATCGAATCCATCTGATCTTTATTTGATTTTAGGAAGTTGTCATGGCAACATTTGACTTGGAGGATGTCAGGGGATATAGAAACATGTGTCGTAGCCGAACTCTTCAGGTAAAAAATGATCCCATGCAGTTAGTGATAGCGTTCAATTATCAACATTTATAGAATAACAAAGTTAGTTTCGTTAGAGGTGAGGGGGTAAATGATGATTTCGTTAGCAAATAGTGTCAATTTTTGTATATATTCAAATGAAAGACAAATCAACATTTAACAACATTCTGCTTTTATATCAATATATATTTATATATATTTTTTAAATGATGACTTTGTTATAAACAATTATGTCTCTAGTTTAAAGGGTTCTTCATCAGTAAATATGTTCTCATTCTGTCCAGCTGTGTTGCGTAACATGATCCGGATTAGAAAAAATAGATATAGTCAGAGGATATGAATCGACTTTCAATTAACTTCTACAACACTTTCCCTCTGCATAAATAGAAGTCCTTGAAATTATTGGTATATCATTTCTATAGTTCTATGATTTTTCTCCTACACCGCTATGTATTTTTAGTACTATGAATTTATGATATTGTTCTTATGTTACATATAAGGAAAAAATCCTCTAAACGTCTATATTCATTAGATTTATTGGATCTATTTTCATAAAACCTTTTTGCATTTGATAATTATACAGCTGAAAATATGTCCAGTAAAAGAAAATTTTATCTATCCAATACAAGAAGATATATTTCAGTTTTTATGATTTTATAACTTAGGGTCTATGGGAACTTTACCAAACCTAGAAATTTCAATGGTGATTAACAATTTTTAAAATCACATTTCTAGACGTTTATATGTAGATTTTCAATATGATATCACTTGACTAAATGAATATTTAAAGAAGAAAACCAAGATTATTTCTACTTGTATCAAGTCTATTGTTCAAGGGCTACAAACAATTTGAGACAACAAAGCATAGCAATCATCTCAATTACTCCTAATCAGAACTTACAACATATTACATATGTAATATCGTGGAATATGATGCTGTTCAGGTGTATCAAATAGACATTTTAAGGACAAAGCCAGTATGTTATATAATATAAGCAAACTAGCAGAGGCAAAAATTAATAACCACTGCAAATTCAGACTAATGGCACCCTGTGTACAGAGTCTAGTGAAAAACTAACCTCTGCTTATGCAGATGTTAGTTAACCTTCAAACCTACTACGTTGACCATTTCTCAACCAATCAGCGATCTGGTAGGAACATAGGCTAAATGCATACTCATTAACTACGCGATCATGTGAGAGGTATTGACCATATATAGAAAGTCATCTGTATTTCAGGGACGAATCCAATCGACATGGTGAGTGCAGTAGGCTCCATTAAACTATTCCAAATGTATGAAAACTAGTGTCTCTTCTATACCTTGCATTTGGTGTTCATGAGCATCCCAATTGGCTTATTATGTCACCACCAAAAGTGGTGACATATTGTTATGGTCTCCGTTTTTTTGCGACGGCGTCCGGCGGTTGGTGGTTGGCGTCCGGCGTCCGGCGGTTGGCGTCCGGCGGTTGGCGTCCGGCGTCTGTAACAATTTCTTACAACTTCCTATAACTTAACAAATACTGTTTAGACTGACTTCAATTTTTTTCTAAATCATCTACATGTTCTCAGAAGTTCAAATCTGACTTTAGATTTGACATTTGACCTTCAATGACCTTCTCAAGGTCAAAAAGGTCTTTTTTCAACTTGCTTCACATTGACTAAATTTTTTTTCAAAATCATCTACATGTTCTCAGAAATTCAAATCTGACTTTAGATTTGACATTTGACCTTCAAATCTGACTTTAGATTTGACATTTGACCTTCAATGACCTTCTCAAGGTCAAAAAAGGTCAAAAAGGTCTGTTTTCAACTTGCTTCAAATTGACTAAATTTTTTTTTCAAAATCATCTACGTGTTCTCAGAAATTCAAATCTGACTTAAGATTTGACATTTGACCTTCAATGACCTTCTCAAGGTCAAAAAAGGTCAAAAAGGTCTGTTTTCAACTTGCTTCAAATTGACTAAATTTTTTTTTCAAAATCATCTACGTGTTCCCAGAAATTCAAATCTGACTTTAGATTTGACTTAAGATTTGACATTTGACCTTCAATGACCTTCTCAAAATCAAAAAAGGTCAAAAAGGTCTTTTTTCAACTTGCTTCAAATTGACTAAATTTTTTTTTCAAAATCATCTACATGTTCTCAGAAATTCAAATCTGACTTTAGATTTGACATTTGACCTTCAATGACCTTCTCAATGTCAAAAAAGGTCAAAAAGGTATTTTTTCATCTTGCTTCAAATTGACTAAATTTTTTTTCAAAATCATCTACATGTTCTCAGAAATTCAAATATGACTTTAGATTTGACATTTGACCTTCAATGACCTTCTCAAGATAAAAAAAGGTCAAAAAGGTCTTTTTTCAACTTGCTTCAAATTGACTAATTTTTTTTTTCAAAATCATCTACATGTTCTCAGAAATTCAAATCTGACTTTAGATTTGACATTTGACCTTTAATGACCTTTTCAAGGTCAAAAAAGGTCAAAAAGGTCTTTTTTCAACTTGCTTCAAATTGACTAATTTTTTTTTTCAAAATCATCTACATGTTCTCAGAAATTCAAATCTGACTTTAGATTTGACATTTGACCTTCAATGACCTTCTCAATGTCAAAAAAGGTCAAAAAGGTATTTTTTCATCTTGCTTCAAATTGACTTAATTTTTTTCCAAAAATCATCTACATGTTCTCAGAAATTCAAATCTGACTTTAGATTTGACTTTAGATTTGACATTTGACCTTTGATGACCTTCTCAAGGTCAAAAAAGGTCAAAAAGGTCTGTTTTCAACTTGCTTCAAATTGACCAAATTTTTTTTTCAAAATCATCTTCATCTTTTCAGAAGTTCAAATTTGACTTAACAAGTTATCAGAAATTCAAATCTGACTTAAGTTTGAACTCATAATATTGTGAGCAACTAGGTGGTGACATTTTGTCATGTTAATGCCTTGTCAGTAATGATTTTGTTATTTGTTTTTATTCGTCTGTTCCTTTAGAATGGTTTATCGGATGACTGTTTGAATGTTAATAAGGTACTTTCAAAAATATACTAAACAATACAATTAGACAGATTATCTTGTGCAATTCTAGGGGTTAGCTATAGTAGAGTGTATATACATATATACATGTATGTCATTTTACCTCACACCCTTCACTTTGGTAACATAATCTCTTTCTATGTTTAGACGTTTTTTAGGAGACATTCCTGTATATGTACAGGGTGGTAAAAAAATGGAAACCCTACATTTTCCTCATATCTTTGTCATTTTAGGGAATTACTCCCTGATATTTTACACATTTGTACAACTTTCAATTTCCTACCAGGTAATCATATTTCATGACCATCAGATTGAAAGTCACAATGGTAGAGCACTTTGAACAAGATGCTCCAGTGTGCCCACCATTGCGCTATTGGCAAATCTGAACAAGTTGTCAATGACTACATTTTTCAGCAGGTATGGCCCGAATGACATAGATGATCTCCTTTTTGAGGTCTGCAGTTGTCCTGAGGTTATTCTCGTACACTCTGTTTTGGTGTATCACCTCAGGTTGAAGTAGGGTAGGGACATTTTGGATATTGTGTGCAGGTTTGCCGAAGGTGCAATATTGGCCACTAGAGCATGTTGTTTAAAGTGCTGTAACATTGTGACTATCAATTTGATGGTCATTAAATATTGTAGGCCGGTAGGAAATTAAATGATGTAAAAGTGTGCCAAATAACAGGGAGTATTTTTGCAAAATGACAAAGATATGAGGAAAATGGCGACAGGGTTTCCGTTTTTTTTTACCACACTGTATGATTATGATTTTAAACCAATCACATAAAGTTATGTGAGTCTGTACCTCAAGTTACATTTGTGTCACACACTAGAAATAGGTAAAATTTGGCCTTGACGATTCTTTTTTTAACTCTGACTTGGATTCAAGACAACTTTTTTCTCGTCAGAGTCTGAAGAACTCCTATGTATAAAGAACATAATGAAATTTGATTTAATGAGGAAATCAAAACTAATTTCCCTGAATGGTAGGATTGCCTTGATGTATATTCTGTGAAATAAATCATAAAAAATATTTAAAGAAAGTTATGAAGTTAAGTGAATATAAATAAATCAATAATTATGTCATCTTTCAAATACGCCTCTTGAGAAAGTGATCAACATCATCATAGAACAGATGATCCCAAAAGACGAGATGCTATGAGAAATAATCTTGATTTTCATCAATAAAAGTTCAAAATTTAGTCAAAATGGTATCCTATCAATTAATATATCCTTTCACTGTGGTTTTCATGATATTCATCAAACTTATAAAATCATGAAGGGTGAAATAATTATGAAACTCGAAAGATTAAATAAAAATGTATCCAGTAAATGTCTCCAATGTGAGCTTCCTTATGTTATCATGTGGTGAAACTAGTAACTTAAGCTAATGACACCGGAATATTGCAATGGAGATCATTTTTGTCACATAAAGTGGAATTCTGTGCGTTTCATTTAGATGAGAATATTTAAAGTGTGTACTTCCTGTGCAATGCAATTATGTACAGGGTGTCTCAAAATAGATTGTGCCCAAGACAAAGGGAAGGAAAAAGAGTTATTGCTGTTTAATCTGGGTACATTTTTTGGACACCATGTATATGTTAGCCTTGGTCACTGAGTTGCATTTACAACATATGCAAGTAGGTGTGAATGTTATTTGAGGGATATTATTTCTTATCATGTTCTTTTTTATTTGTTTTTCAAATGAGTCTTATTTCTAAGTCAATAAGTTCTGTGTTATCAGAGGAATAGAAAAACATTTTTAATCATCCGATCGGCCTGCATATTTTTTCTATGAGAAAGAGAATGAGTATTCTAATCCATAAATGTCATTGGCACCAAATATGACCATATATCTTTTAATATTAAATATTATTTAATGACATCTCAAGAAATACAGAAAATAGTGTACCCATAAAAGAAACAGATTTTCTTGGGCATGATATTTTCTCTGTTTTACATGAATCATTGAATAACTTTGATTGCATTTTAAACTAAATATAGTTTTTATTAGAATCAACCTAATGCTTTTATAATATATATGAGTAGTTCTGCCTACAGTGTTTATACAAAGATTAATTTTGCATCAAACCTAGTTTGAAAATGTTAATGTTCAAAATGTTTAAAGTATTATTTTACTTTAGTTTACTTTATATAATACTTCATGTATATATCAACCTATGAAAGTCAAATATGCAGGACTGTATGCCAATCAATATCATACAGTACTGTATGCCAATCAATCTCATATCATACTATATGCCAGTCAATACCATACAGTACTGTATGCCAATCAATCTCATATAATACTATATGCCAGTCAATATCATACAGTACTGTATGCCAATCAATCCCATATAATACTGTATGTCAGTCAATATCATACAGTACTGAATGCCAATCAATATCATACAGTACTGTATGCCAGTCAATATCATACAGTACTGTATGCCAATCAATATCATAAAGTACTGTATGCCAATCAATATCATACAGTACTTATGCCAGTCAATATCATATAGTACTGTATGCCAATCAATCTCATATCATACTATATGCCAGTCAATATCATACAGTAAGAGTATTGTATGCCAATCAATCTCATATAATACTATATGCCAGTCAATATCATACAGTAACAGTACTGTTTGCCAATCAATCTCATATAATACGATATGCCAGTCAATATCATATAGTACTGTATGCCAATCAATATAATTCAGTACTGTATACCAATAAATATCATGGAGTGTTATATGCCAATCAATATTATTCAGTAATGTATACCTATCAATATCATACGGAACTACATGCCAATCAATTTTATACAAAACTATGTGTCACTCAATTAAGTATAATATATACTCTATTTCCCGATCAATATATACATGTACAGTATATCTTCAGGCTGCCGATCGTGAGTCTCCAAAATTCACTCGAGTCCATGTTGACTTTGCTTTGTCCAAAGATGACTTCTCGACTTCTCACCTTCATCCAATTGAATGGAAGTACCACACAGCTGCAGAGGAGATTGAACTTGGTCCCGCCTGTTGGTTGTGGGATTATTTACGACGTAGCGGAGCTGGTGGATTCTTCCTACCCCTGAGTGGCGGGATTGACAGTTCCAGTACAGCCTGTATAGTCTACTCCATGTGCACTCTAGTTTGTGAGGCAGCAACTAAAGGAGGTATGTGAAATAGACCTGGGATGTATGAATTCATTGTTTAATCTCTTAATCTCAAGGGTTTGAAGCATTTTTGCTTCAAAGTTTTTGACATTACACAGAGCTACCCAATCTATTCAGTAAATAAGCATCAATCATTTCTATACACTTTAGAATTTAATTTCTTGAGATTGGACTAAAATTGTTAATAACAGAATAGTTATTTTTCGTTTGATAAAACTGAGTAAGTTTAGTATATCGAGTCATTTTTGACATAATCCCCGTAATTGTACTGAGGTGAAAATTCTCATGAGTTCACGATTCTTTAAAAGGTGTTACAAATTAAAAGTTCCCACGTTGATCTCATATCACAAGTCCCATCCAGCTGGTATTGATGAAATAATTTTAATTGGGTGTTTGATATAAGTGTGACTGGGAATTGAAAAATGAAAAGTAAATTAGCTTTCAGCTTAATTAGTTTCTTTTGAAGTATATATTTCATGTTAATTTTTAAATATCATAATTAACATGATGACAAATGTGGATTTAAGTTTCATTTTTTTGTGTAACATGAAGTTTCTTGGAAAATGAGCTCTCATGTTTCTCTTTGTGTTCATACTATATGTAGTGCTCTCCCCAGGATTTTTTTGTAGGGAGGATTTTGTAAAAAAAATTGCAACATTTTGAGATTTTGTTATTCTGAAAGTGCAACATTTTAATATTTTTTACTTTATGCTAAAATAGACTTTTCCGACAATAAAATCCTGCCACCTTCTAGTATTGCAAAGATTAAGCTATGATATATCTCATTGCTGGCAAAAGCTGTTTTGGAGATTTTCAGCTGGTGACTGGCCATTTTGATGAAAAATTGAGCAAAATTGCATGTTTTCATATTAGCATAAAATGGACTATATCAACACCCTCTGTGCTATGTTTTATGCCATTGTGAAGCCAATGACATATCACAATTGCACCCAAAAATGTTCCCCTAGTGACCCCTACAATATTTGGTAAGATTATTGGTACAGATCGTCTGACAATTATTGGAGAGCATCCCAAGATATCACGGTTGTTCAGATAGGATTATGACGTCATTGACAAAATATCTTGGGGTCGATCAGCAATGAGATATTGGTTACAGATTGATGATGCCATTATGAAAATAGATTCAGAAGATGTAAGTTAGTAAGAACAGTTTACCACAGGACTCACATCACATCTCCTTCCTTCTGATTGCTCATTAGTGGAATATTAATGTTTTACTAGGGAAAAACATAATGAATTAGTATAGCTTGCTCAGATTTGTAAAACCTGCCACATGGTTCTGATTACAGTTACATGTATCACCCAGTGATTTAACAACCATAATTGAGAAAAAATTTTACTGCATCAAATGAATTTACCATCATTCGCCAGAATCTTTGTAAGTTTTTTGACTTTGAGCTCGAGTGATGGCATCCAAACTGATTTTGAGAACCTTTTCAAGAAGAATTCAGTCAGAATTTTAAATTGAAATGAAAAGTCGAGTAAATTTTTCGAGCCTGAGCTGGTCCTGATTATGTTTATGTATGCTGAAATTTCTCCAAATTGAGCTTTACCTGTTAAAAGATGAGAAAAATGTAAAAATTCTCTAGTTTCAAATCGATTTTAGAGCCTGGGATTCAAGAGGTTATCCTTAGAATTAACCTAAAATCTTACAATGTATTTTGTTCAAAAATTATTCCATAGTATTTTCTGATGTTTTCTTCAAGATGAACAAGTGATATCAGATGCCAGGAAGCTAGTCTCCGATCCGACTTATACACCTGAAGACCCCAAAGAGTTCTGCAGTCGCATCTTCACAACATGCTACATGGGCTCTGAAAACAGCTCTGAACAAACCAAGTCCAGCGCTCAAGACCTTGCCAAGCAAATAGGAAGGTATAACTTTATTTCTTAGTTAGAGGCATTGTATTGAATAAGTGCATGAATATACTTAATATTTGAAGCCTGTAGTTTTACTTATCCATGATACTGGTCAAGGGAGAGATTGTATGAATTCCACAGTCAGACAAGATTTGATAGTTGCTCAGTAGCTCAGCAGATAGCGAAATGTTAATAGACAATTTATGAATTTTAGTTTTGAATATTAGACAAAGCCCCTGTGTACCCCATCAACACCAAAACACTATATAGCAAAAATAATATTTAGTTTGCACAATTCAACACAACAGTATAATTTGAAAAACACTTAAACTTGATATCATTGTTTTCTAGCTACCACTTAAGTATCAAGATAGATGTCGCTACTACAGCTCTGATGAGCATCTTCACAACAGTGATGGGAATGTTTCCTAAGTTTAAGGTACACGGTGGCTCTCCACGAGAAAATCTAGCCCTTCAAAATCTACAGGTAAGAAAAAGCCTAGAACAAATGTACATAGATTAAAAAGTCTACTTTTGAAATACCAAAGGCTTGTCCTATTATCCTAGAGTAAGTCATAGTGAGCATTGGCAGAAAATAGAAAATTTGTAAAAAATAGATTGTTTGATTCAATGTGCGTTTGGGATAGAAATATTGTTTCATTTGAACAAATGGCATTTTTTGAAACTTTTGTAAGATAAAAGCTTCATATTGAATATATCTCCATATGAAATTCTACCAATATCTTTGCCTTATAGCCATAAATAATACAAAATACAAATCTGAGCATTTAAGTGAGAAATGTGGGCTGCAATTGGAAAAAAATGTGGGTTCAAATTTTGCATACTAACAATGTAGTGTTGATGGTACATTGACAAACCACATCTTTTAATTTCCAGGCCCGAGTTCGCATGGTCCTTGCTTATCTATTTGCCCAGCTGTCACTCTGGGCACGTGGTCTGTCTGGTGGCCTCTTGGTATTGGGCTCTGCTAATGTGGATGAAAGGTAAGAGTCAGTACTATAGTGGTTGTCTTCCCAGAATTTCTTTTAAAGTGGTTGCAATATTCTCACTTTCGCAATTTTGTCCAAATATGGTCAAACTTTGCCAATATGCAAATTAGTTTTCACTATTTTAACTATCTCGTTACTAGATATAGTATGTATTTACTAAGCACTGTTGAAGTAGATCAGAGTGTCGCACAAATTATGTTTTAAGACAAGTAAATCCGAGGAATCAAGTATTTCAACTGGTCCTCAAATGGTACATACTACAGTTGAAAATTGATATACTACATGTCTGAGATGTATAAAGTGGTGTACAAATAAGTTGTATAAAACTTGTTTTTTACAGTCTGAGGGGCTACATGACAAAATATGACTGTTCTAGTGCAGACATCAACCCCATAGGTGGCATTTCCAAGACGGATCTCAGGATGTTTATTCGACATTGCGTTACAAAGTTTGGTCTAACCTCTCTCACTGACATCTATAATGCACCTCCAACAGCAGAATTAGAGCCACTTGCAAATGGTGTTATAGCCCAAACAGACGAGGTTTGTTTGATTGATTGATTGTGTGTTTGTTTGTTTGTTTGTTTGTTTGTTTATTTGTATATTTGTACTGTTTTCATTAAGCTCCTTTACTTCTTTAATATTTAGTCTCAACTGATACGTACAGTATCAAATTGTACGTTATGAATATGAAAATTTGAGGAGATTATATGCTGATTCAGTTTTTTCATCATATAAAAATTGAACAGATAAGTGCAAATTGAAGATACTGTTAGTAGTACATAAATATATGTAGAATAAGCACATCCACTCTGTTTACATCTAAAGTGAACTAAATGTGCTTAATGTGATGTATTCCATTAAGATAAACAGGTTTAATATTGTATTGATTTATACTGTAGTACATAAATATATGTAGAATAAGCACATCCACTCTGTTTACTAAATGTGCTTAATGTGATGTATTCTATTAAGATAAACATATTTAATATTGTATTGATTTGTCTTCCAGGATGACATGGGGATGACCTATGATGAACTGTCTGTATTTGGTAAACTAAGGAAGCAAGGCACGTGTGGGCCTTATAGTATGTACTGTAAGCTGGTACACCTGTGGAGTGATAAATGTACACCTGCACAGGTGAGAGATCCTGCGGCACAAGTTGCCGATCATTATGCGATTTTAGAAATTTAGAAATTTATGAATAGATTTTTATTAGATTTCAACATTAAAGTGGCATAATAAGTGAATTCAATATATATACAGAGTGATCATTATGTATTAGTATATATTATGTATTAGTTGGGTAGGAAATACTCCAAAATACCTTATTTTGGGGACTTCAAGTCTTTAGAGTTATTAGGACATATTATGTATCAAATTAAATTTAAAGACCACCATTCTTGACCTATATTACTTCTGACACATATTTCTATCCATTTATCTTTAGTATTATTATTATTATGTCACCACCAAAAGTGGTGACATATTGTTATGGTCTCCGTTTTTTTTATGTCACCACCAAAAGTGGTGACATATTGTTATGGTCTCCGTTTTTTTGCGACGGCGGTTGGCGTCCGGCGGTTGGAGGTTGGCGTCCGGCGGTTGGAGGTTGGCGTCCGGCGTCTGTAACAATTTCTTACAACTTCCTATAACTTAACAAATACTGTTTAGACTGACTTCAATTTTTTTCTAAATCATCTACATGTTCTCAGAAGTTCAAATCTGACTTTAGATTTGACATTTGACCTTCAATGACCTTCTCAAGGTCAAAAAGGTCTTTTTTCAACTTGCTTCACATTGACTAAATTTTTTTTCAAAATCATCTACATGTTCTCAAAAATTCAAATCTGACTTTAGATTTGACTTTAGATTTGACATTTGACCTTCAAATCTGACTTTAGATTTGACATTTGACCTTCAATGACCTTCTCAAGGTCAAAAAAGGTCAAAAAGGTCTGTTTTCAACTTGCTTCAAATTGACTAAATTTTTTTTCAAAATCATCTACGTGTTCTCAGAAATTCAAATCTGACTTAAGATTTGACTTAAGATTTGACATTTGACCTTCAATGGCCTTCTCAAGGTCAAAAAAGGTCAAAAAGGTCTGTTTTCAACTTGCTTCAAATTGACTAAAAAAATTTTTCAAAATCATCTACGTGTTCTCAGGAATTCAAATCTGACTTTAGATTTGACTTAAGATTTGACATTTGACCTTCAATGACCTTCTCAAAGTCAAAAAAAAGGTCAAAAAGGTCTTTTTTCAACTTGCTTCAAATTGACTAAATTTTTTTTTCAAAATCATCTACATGTTCTCAGAAATTCAAATCTGACTTTAGATTTGACATTTGACCTTCAATGACCTTCTCAATGTCAAAAAAGGTCAAAAAGGTATTTTTTCATCTTGCTTCAAATTGACTAAATTTTTTTTCAAAATCATCTACATGTTCTCAGAAATTCAAATATAACTTTAGATTTGACTTGAGATTTGACATTTGACCTTCAATGACCTTCTCAAGGTCAAAAAAGGTCAAAAAGGTCTTTTTTCAACTTGCTTCAAATTGACTAAATTTTTTTTTCAAAATCCTCTACATGTTCTCAGAAATTCAAATCTGACTTTAGATTTGACATTTGACCTTTAATGACCTTCTCAAGGTCAAAAAAGGTCAAAAAGGTCTGTTTTCAACTTGCTTCAAATTGACCAAATTTTTTTTTCAAAATCATCTACATCTTTTCAGAAGTTCAAATTTGACTTTAGAAGTTCTCAGAAGTTCAGATCTGACTTTAGATTTGACATTTGACCTTCAATGACCTTTTCAAGGTCAAAAAGGTCTTTTTTCAACTTGCTTCAAATTTACTTAATTTTTTTTTCAAAATCATCTACATGTTCTCAGAAGTTCAAATCTGACTTTACATTTGACCTTCAATGACCTTCTCAATGTCAAAAAAAGTCAAAGAGGTATTTTTTCAACTTGCTTCAAATTGACGAATTTTTTTTCCAAAATCATCTACATGTTCTAAGAAGTTCAAATCAAACCTTCTTAAGGTCAAAAGGTATTTTCCAACTTGCTTTAAATTGACCAAATTGTTTTAGGTGGTGACATTTTGTCATGTTAATGCCTTGTTATATTTTGTTAACATTAAGATTTTCATAATTGTAGGTTGCCCAGAAGGTGAAACATTTCTTCAGATCATATTCCATAAACCGCCACAAGATGACAACATTGACCCCTTCTTACCATGCAGAGACATACAGTCCTGACGATAACAGGTACATGGACAGGATGCAACCCCTCAACATTAATGCAACCCCTTAATTGTAATTTTTCATAGATCATCTTAAAGAGGACTTCTGATTCGGGAATTTTCAGAGAAATTTTGCTTTGTATGATTTAATGTTGTCATTGAGCTACAGTATGTATAACACAATCTACAAAACATCTTTTTAGCATATAGATTTGATTTAATGAACTGGTTAGTAGAAGACTGGAAGTAGCAATTATAATTAAAATCATTTTATTAGAAACTCAGAATGAGGCTAAACTTTGAAGTGATGCCTATTGACAATTATTGATGATGCTAAACAAAATGACTGGGAACAATCATAAAAATGATTCATGAATTTATTTCCTGATATGACTTCTAGTAGAAACACATGTTTTTAGGAGTTGTAAGTCTTCATTCCTTTTTTAAGACATCTGTATATGTATACACATTGATCGGTATTCTTTCCAGATTTGATCACAGACAGTTCCTCTACAATGTAAAATGGCAGTGGCAGTTCAAGTGCATTGACCAGCAGGTAACCAGTTGAATTACATTTTATGAATTACTGTATGTATTAATCTTAATCATAGAAATATCAGATGGTCAAGCATAATATAATGTCTATTTAATTTAATGTCTATATAATGTTTGTTCTTACTTACCATTAGGTTGAACGATTGGAACAGCTAGCCAATAAGCAACAAGCAACTAAAGATGATAACACCCAGGGAAGTAGTTCAAAGGATCCTGCATCAGCTGAACGCAAGTCGAAATCACCTGACCCTGTTGCCATGGCAACCACAGATAGTCGTCATGGTGTCACGGTGTCACATGATAAGCCAAGTGACCTTGTTGATTCTGTGATTGGTACAAGTGTAGGCGATGATAAAATTAGGAGCACAAACATTCCCGATATCTTAAATGCCTCGTCAGAAACCAAAGATTTGATCAATGAAGCCAATTATTTTCAGGGCCGACCAGCTTTAAAAGCTGGTGACTTTTTTAAAGGAGCCAATGGAATCAAACCCCAAAGACAACCTATTAATAACAATAAACCTCAATCCATGCAGCATAGCCCTGTTTTGCAAGTGTTGAACCCACACAGCAAGGTCCATGCCCCTGCTTTACAAAGGTCGAACCCACATACTCCCACATCGATGCCGTCCAATCCTGCCTTATTAAAGAAAATCCCAAATGTACCGGCATCCAAAATAAAGAAAACCTACCAATCGGGAGAAAAACCTGAAGGCCCTGTGGAGATCATCGAGCAACCCCCTAAACACATCAAAAAGTCATATGAGGTAGCAAATCAAATGCCCACAAGCACAAAATCACCTCAGAAAACAAACTATGGAGCAAATCTTGGTGGAAATTTCACTGACAAGCAAGTTCCAATAACTAACATGCGGGCTGGTACTAAGAGAGTCGGGAATCCCGCTAGTTACTTAGTTGGACAACCTGTAACTCTCGGTCAGCAGAACAAACATGTAATACACAGAGTTTAACTTGTGATGCATCATGGTTTGAAGGACATAGTGTATATACAAAATGGGGTGAAATTAGTTAGTCAGAAAATCTGAATAAAAGAGTGTTAAGTTATCTTCAAAAATAATGCCAACAATCCTCATTTTGAAAATTTGAGATATCTCATCGAATATTGAAATTTTTGAAGATTTCAGATACAGAAATGTGCAAATCTTTAAATTCACACCTGTAATTGACCAAGTACATGTAAACACATGGGTTTATTGGAAAGAGCAATGGCTCAGACAATTCCGTAAGAGTTACCTTGAAGCCTGTAATTTTATGTTTAAGTTGTTACCTGGAATGCAAAAGATATCTTGTCATTGCTTTATCATTTGTGTCTACTTGGTTTATAAATGTCAACATTTTTATCAAATTTCACAAACATACAACAATAGATTTCAATTAATACGGAACAATGGATGTTGCACTGAGACACAAGACCCCATTATTATGAATCTAATACATGTAGTTTTGAAAACAATACAGTTCAGCGGCCTGGCCTCCATTGCTGGTGTCCATTACAGCTCGAGTCATAAAACAATTACTCAACCATGCTCAAATTTCTCGATCAACCAATCAACGAACAGAGGGAAATACATTTTAAAATGTTTAATATTGGTCAATACTGGGTAAACAGTTACTTTATAGTAACTATTTATAAAATTGCCCTTCTGGTAACGACAATCTCTGGTTGGCTTGGAGAGTTCAGATGTTTCTCTTAAACCAAGAATAAAGACAACGCTGCAACTACAACAGTATTTTTTGTGACATTGGAGACTTTAAGCTACTATAGCGATGTTATTCACAATGTAACCGTGAACGCAGTCTAAATCAGTACAGTAATGTGTATAATGCGTATTCAGTTCAAAAAACAAGTGCTACTTACGGTTCAACAAATCTGCAAGATTTGTTTTATTTCATGAAAAAAATCTTGTATTTTTCAAGCAGAAATCTTCCCCTAACACTCATTTTGTCCGATTTACATCCTGATTATTAAGTAATGAGTACATTTTGTAATTTAATCTTTTATTTGAGAAGGAAGTATTATTATCATGTGAAAACCAGAATGTGACCTCTTTAGAAGGCATATGTGATATTATGGTTATAGATTTTACTGATTGTTATTTCAACCACAGACTGTTTGTTAATTGAGATAAATGTTAGGTAAAATGATGTTAAGTATGGTACTGAGGGTTGTTCAATAAATACTAAAGCAAACTCTCATTTACATGTTGAACAGATTTTTTATCAGATACATAATATTTATATGGCAATAGATTTATATTAGATAACATATATATGGATGAGGGAACCCAGAGCAGTTTTTCTCTTCAGATGTTGCTAAATGTTACTAGTTTTTCATTCTTACTCTGTTCAATGTCTATGGCCTTTTTTGCTATATCAAAGGGACAAAGTGCATAAATGAAGTCTCACTTTTGATCTTCATAGTATTTCCAATGGATTAATAAGTACCTGATCTTTCATTTGACACCAAAAACAGCTCAAACAGACCACATCAGAGTTGACACTATATCATGAAAAAAATATTTTTGATCTATCAATTTATATACTGTATGTCAAGTTTTTAGCAATGTCATAGAAAGATGGCATTGTTGTTTGCATTAATTATCCATTCATTTTTGATAGGATTTTCAACCATACGCCATCTTTTAATCCAAGAGTTATTTACAAACATACACTTTGTGAAAAGTGGTAATTCACTTCTTTTGATCTCTGAACTTCAAATGCTGTTTTCTATGCGAGTAATTTTTTTCCACTTCAGTATTGACCCAAATTAAAGTTTTTATCATATTTTATTGACTGTGTGAGTGACATGTCTCAAATAATATTTTGTCATTTTTCCTTAAAAAATAAGCGCATCGCCTGTTTAAGTTTTCATGAACATATCCCATAATATTTGGTCAGTATTGAAACATACGTCTCACTTTCAATCATCAAAAATGTCACCTTGATAAATGTAAAAATGAGAATATTTGTACTTTTTGAACGACCCTCAAACATTAGACAATAGATCTACATTGTATGTTAAACTGTGGGGGCAATGTGATGAGATTTTTATTCACATGTGTATTAACACCTTAACTCGGAAAATGGATTAACTTTCGGTCATCATCAGGAAGCAGATCACATGTTGTAAAGCCACTAATTTTTTTTGTGGTTGGCCATTCAGCATCAGCGAACAAGATTTTTTTCTTATTATATAATAAATCATGATAACTATTACACTTTGGTAATTATCAGAATACACAAAGGGCAACATCAGGACAACACAAAACAAGCAACATGAACCTATATTATAGAATAAATTCACAATCTTCAAGCCACAAGTCATTCCAATAAGAAATATAACTTGTAACTTAAGCTACAGAACTTGGATGATATTAAGATTACTCTTAAGATTTCCTATCTACACTAATTCTCTTGTAAACCACATTGCATTATTTGTGGTGTTTTGGATGTAAATCATAGATGTTCATACTGGTACTAGCAAAAGGTGTTCACATTTGGAGGTTCTGAAGTGCAGTCAAAAATAATGAAAAAATGTTCACATTTTGATATGTTTGCTTAAGAAGGTTGTTTGAGTGCATGTGTTGTAAAGTAAAGCCCAATAAAATCCATGGTTCATATAGTGAATGGTGATTGTGTTACGAAACCAGCCAGTTGTATTTTATCATTTATTTATGATGTCAGCATATTGTTATACTCTCCACAGGGGTGTAGCCAGCTTTCATTCAGGGGGGGGGGTGTGCGATCGCAAATTTTTGGGGGTTTTCAGTTGGGGAGGGGGTGCGATTGTGGCAAAAGCGAGCCAAAAAAGATTTTTTTTAGATTTGTCTTGAAAATTACAAAAATTGATGCAATTTACTTCAAAATTGAGCTGGAAGCTTCAAATAAAAAGCGTTTTAAAGTTCCTTTTGTCTATCTAGTGGTTCTATTGTTATTGGTCTTATTGGTTATGGGGGACCCTTCGCACCCCCCCCCCTTTGGCTATGCCTATGCTCCAACTCTTGTGCTTGCTGTTGGTGTTCCCCAGTGGGTGTCTAACAAATGGCAGGCGGTGGCCATCTTTAACAAATGGCAGGTGGTGACATTTTGCATGCTAGGCTAATGCCTTGTTTCATATTTGCAGTACAAGTTTGTGCACAATTCCAGCAAAGTATTGTCATTATACTTAAAGAGTAGAGCATTCAACTGTGTCTTTATGTTACCTACAAACTAAACCTAAGGTAGTCTTTCATTATTCTAATAATAAATAGATGAAGTAATTGGAGTGTACAAACTAAAACGTTAATTTGAAAAAATAGATTTTTATTTCTCAAATATTCAAATTTCCCTCCATTTTTAAAATGAAAGATGGCATTTTTAACATCAAATATTTCACTATACAGTACAAAACAAATACTGGTGGTGCAGTAACTGTGCAACTGCGAAGATTGAACAAATGACACACTATTTCAATAATAAAATGTCATACATAATGTGCCACTTAAATGTTTTAGCATATTAAAAAACTTGTGCACCCTAAGTGACATCATCGTGGCATCAATCAGATGGCATTTTTGAAGAAAAATCTCTATGTCAATATTTCCTTAATATGCTAAACTTTCAAAATAAAACCAATGTTAATTGTCTAATTAGGTCGAAAAGAAGAATATATCATATTTTAGATAATACTGAACCGTTGGTTTCTATGAGAATTAAAATGTTAAAATGCATTTTCTCTGAACCATTTTCATGCATGGATGAGTTCATTTCTCGCTTAGTTATCAACCCATTGTCTTGATTTTTCAATAAAGCCGATAAAAGACACTTGAAGATGAATCCTATACATTGGTATGAATTGTCGCTTAGTAAAAGATACTTGTGACCTCTAAAATCTAATTTTGAATAAATTCACGATTTTACAAACAAAAAAGTCCTTCAAAAAAGACTTTTAGGAATTAAAAAAACGTTTCACATTTTGTTAACATGTGGTGGTAAGACTACTTATTGAACACCCTGTAAATTGGGCCTTTAACTAAGTCAGTTATGCCGACTAACAGTAAAGGTAGCGAGAAAAAGTATCAACGATCAGTTTACCACTTCAAGTTTAAAGTTCCAAAGTCTGTCAAACAAGTGTCTTATCAGTTCAACATTCTCAGGGGCCGTCCACTGGTCACATTGAGATCAGTCCAAAACAAAGTTTGCATCTGTATGTACATGTCTTGTAATACACTCCTGTTTGTCCTCGTTTACAATTCGCTTTATTGCCCGCTTTATTGGTTTGAAACATTTACTTCATGCACAAATTCACCGTACATGGAATATGATACAGCAAGGATTTCATTGTTTGAAATAATATTGATGCGATGGTCCCAGTTATCTTTTACGTTTCCAAAGTCTAAACGCAGTAACTTAAACCGTAAACAGAGCATATAATTTCAAAATGGCAAGAAGTGCATACTTTTCGTCAATTTTGATCGTCCTGTTGTTTTGCAACAACCTTGGACAAACGAATGCTTTCTTCAACTTTGACATCAATCAGTGTCCAAGTGGATGCGTTTGCAAAGATGACAGTATCACTTGCAGGGATATAAGGCAGATGCCCAAGTTTTCAAACACTACCAAACGGATCGAACTCGTACATTGTTATATACCAACAATTTTTACACATGATTTCGAAAATGCGACTTCTCTCGAGGAGCTTGTGCTTGACAATGTTAATGATAACGGTGGCTCTATCTATGGCGGTGGTACCAAACTGGATTCCAATTGCTTTTCCAAGTTGACCAAGCTGAAGAAGCTCGTCATGTTGAACACCAAACTGTTCATGTATTCCTCCGACTACTTTGATAACTTGACGAATCTGGAACACCTTGTCATGAATAATGTAGGCTTGGGACCGCATCTTTTACAGAGTTTGTTTCAGCGCCTATTTAAACTGACACACTTAGATCTTGGTCGGAATTGGATCGAATTCATGCCACGGCGTTTAGTGGCTAATTTCAGAAATCTAAAAGTGTTTAAGATTAACAACAATATCCTTTGGAGCCCCAACGCAGCGTTGACTCCAATAAGCGAAGCGAGTGACCTCGTAGAATTGGACTTAACGGATAATAGATGGATTTACCCTCACAATCAATTTGACAAACTTCCAAGTGTGTTCCAATCGTTTTCTAAGTTGAAGAAATTGTCTATTGGCAAAAATAAATTTGAGAAGCTTGGACGGGATTTTTTCGCCGATGCTCCTCCATCTTTAGAACATATCTCCGTCGAAGCTGCTTCTATTAAAGATATACATAACGAAACCCTCCGCCCATTGAAAAGCCTGAAGTTCTTAGACGTAAGCTCGAATCATGATATCAAATACGGCCAGTTCAGGACCCTCCTTGGAAGTCTAGCCGTTAAGAGCAAGTTGACAACGTTGATCATGAGGGATCATAAAATAGATACCTTCCAAGCAAGCATGTTTCCATCTCCTTCTCGTGTCTCGTCGTTAAAGTCCTTGGACATGTCAGGAGGGGACCTAAAAACTCTCAATACGGATGCGTTCAAACGTATTCAGGGTATTGAAGAGCTTCAGCTCCACGGGAATAAACTAACTGATATTCCAAAAGGGGTATTCAGTGTTTTATCAAACCTTAAGGTTTTGTCCCTCGCTTCTAATAACATTATGCGGTTCCATCAGAGCAGCCTTCGTACCAACAGACATTTGGAAGACTTGGACATTTCTGGCAATAAACTACAGTCGTTGGCGTTTGGATTATTGGCTGGTAAACGCATCTTGAAAACGTTTAAAGCTGGTGGTAATAACATATCTGTGATTACGAAAAAACATCTGGAAAATATTCGGTTCTTGGAACACTTGGATATGAAGTCCAACAACGTTAAAACATTTAAATGGAAACATTTTGAAAAACTAAATCATTTGAAAGAGATTGATTTCTCCGGCAACCCACTTGTCTGTGATTGCAGTTTGCACTACTTTAGACATTGGTTGGGGTTATGCGAAATCGAAATTCTGAATAAGGAAGAAACACATTGCCACCAAGATTTCATCGATACGTACATCCCCCTCGACCGTTATGCTCCGATAAGGATTGAGTGTCCTGATCGACCAGAGAGTAAAATGGTTATTTCCACAACAAATAGGCCTGGAGCTGATGAAGATGATATTCCGGATGAGGATACTTTAGGAACTTTTCTAAGCGATATATTGAGCGGATGGTGGGGTTAACACAGTTTTAATACACACTATTGTTCTACTGATTAAGAACATAACTTCTGAGAATATATGACATAACTGCAATGGCCAATGTCATAATGAAGAAAAGTTCTCATATTCCCATCTGATACTAGTATATTAATCACAGTCTCATCTTATGTACAATCACGGCCATCACCTTTGGGCTCTGGATGAGAATGGGACAGCATTTTCTCATATGACTAAATCAGATCCAACCATCTTTCTCTTGTACAAATACAGTCATCTTTCATCCTAAAATGCAAAATGAAATTACTTGTGACGGAAACGAATACTAAACCTTTTGGAGTGATAGCTAGCTAATAATCTTATTGAAAACTGCAGCCAGTGGCCACAGTTCTGTGCCAGTATAAATGTCTTGATAACTTTTTTTGTATACACATGTTTTTTGTATTTGTCACTTTTTTGTTGGATCAATCAGCATTTTTAACCTCTTGGATATTCTATGACTTTTGTTGGAAATATCCATGAGTGGATATCGACCATCTTCACGAGTGGGCGCATCTAAAGAATAGGGATGGGTGATAGCCATGAGTTGATGAGAATGATAGGCCGCGAATCACCCACAAATTATTTTCACACTATGCAAAAAATGTCTTCACCATTAATCAAAAGAATGAAATTCAGCACGAAACCTTAGTGTAAGGGTTTTGGTTTTTGACATTTTGATTTGCATAAGCGCATACTTTATCATTCATTATGAACTTGCCTGAAAAGTGGGAATTGACGGGAGCAATCACGAAAATGCAAAATTCTTCAATTACTGTGTTATTATTGGCTGGAGTTATGTTTGATATATCAAGCCTTTGTATATATGGAATATATTCTTTTTAAATATACCAAGTGGGTCTCGGCCAATCAGCTTGAAGTACTTCTGTGCATTGAGTTAGGGTATATGGTCAACTGAATAGAAACATTTAGAATGGATGCTGAATGGGTGAACTCAACAAAAGATAATTCACATTAACTTAGACAAGGTGTGTTCGATTCCAGCCAATCCGAACACAGTATTTCAAATAATTACAGTGCGTTATATAACCAATCACCGAATCCAAGTGGGTGTCAAGATGACAACCTGACTCAACTTATTGACATTGATGCTTTGCCAACTTGACCCTTAACATGGTAGAAAATATTTTGCAATGTGTGGAAAAAATAAAAGCCCAAGACCCAATGCATTGTGGAATGATTATTTCTTTCGGACGTTTTTCCCTAAAATTAACCCTCGATGATGCGCATCTAAATTTTGGAAATCAACACCTTCAAGTAACTTGGTCATTCCACATTGCAATGAGTCTAGAGCTAAAATCCTAACACTTGAATATTAGCATAATTATCATTCATTACATTATAAAGACAATTTGAAAAGTAATGAAGTGTACCATAATGGATTAATAAACGCATATACTGAAATATGAATGTAAATGTAGGTGTCAGAAACTTATATAGCACCTTGGTCGAAGAGACCGTGTATGCTACATTGATTCCAGGAAACTAGACAATGTCATAATTTATAAAGGCTTGATAGAATATATGAATTGCAATAAAGAACCCACTACCCGGCATTCTTTACTGGATTTAAAAAGCATTTATATATGTATGAATTAACCCATCCTGATAATGAACATGTACTCGGACTCCGCCCTCGTGCATTATGTGTTAGAATAAGTACATAAAAATGTAGTAGATTAAAAGTAATTGTGTGTCAAATAATATATTCCCCATTTCTGTAAACCGTAACAAGCTCTCGGTTAGCCACACCAGTGGCGGATCCGGGGGGGATTTGATTTTTTTTTAGTTTTTTTTTGGCCCTAAAATTCCCCCCCCCCTTTGTTAATTTCTAGATCCGCCACTGCACACCGCCGCTTCAGACTGTAGACATGGGCAGTTAAAAAGCGGGCATAATACTAAGAGAGCCCCCCCCCCAAGGGCCTATCGAGAGGGCGTGGTGACGACTCACTGACGACTTACTCCCAGTGACTGTTGATTCTTATTGTGTAATTATTTCTAAAACACATAAAATTAAAAAAGAATATAAGTGGCAATACCCGGGGAGTGGAATTCACCTTTCGCACTGAACGAAACTGCACAATACTTCCTTCCGCCATGATCCAAAAATATTTTGAAAAACATTTCTCTGGACATTTCTGCTTTATATCATGGATTAGGCACCCGTAAACGGATCAATTACTCTTTCTATCATATGCATATTTTGTTTGTATTCAGATGTAAAAATATTGGTGGAATTACAGTAAGGGAACATGGCAAATGCACCATAGTAACGATGTAAACAATTTTATTTTGAAATTTTTGAATTTTTCATAATTCTCAAGGCTATTTTGGAAACTTATTTCTTGATATCTGTCGAGCAAAATATTCACTTCAAAAGTTGTACGTGACTCTCTATCATACAAACCTGCTCCTGCTTGCGTATTTACTTTATAATATCCCAAGATGTCACGGTCCACCGCAAGCTCATTGAGTAGAAAACAGATTGATGAGCTTATCAAAAATGTTGATTTACCAGGTAAGATAGTAAATGTTAATTCTTCTTTTTTGAAATATTATAACTATCATAAACAAACAGCAAGAACCTTACATACTGTCCTGTTGAAATTGCAGTGAAATTTTATGCACAGATTTTTTAATTTGAGTGAGCATCACAAAAATAACCATTATAACACTTCAATTGGGTAGTTACAGTAGGTACAATAAAATGCTACAATCAGTAGCACATTAGTGTCGTCGGGATGTGCCATAATGGATATTGATGTATCTGCAATTTTCAGTAGTAAATATCGATGCATATTGCGATATACATCGGGAAAAGTCTTACCAAATTTACAGCCATAAAATCAAGATAATTGATTCAGATATTTTCAAATTCAAATCTGACTGAAGATTGAACTAATGCTATTGTGAGCAACTTGGTGGTGATCATTTTGTCATGTTAATACCTTGTTTAAAAATGTCAGAACTATAGACTATTTACTGAATACTTGTACATAGCTACTCATAAAAATGTTACTGATTCAAAGATTGCTGTAGAGTATTGCAGTACTGTATGTCTCACCACATATTAACATTTAGCATGTTATAGGCCAAGAATTACAACTGAAAGTAACATTCCTGAAGTAGATACTGATGATTTTTGGTTTGTTTTGAAGTATGTGTACATGAAGATCAAAACATAATTGTATGAGTTAGATAAAAGTGCAAGAACATTTTTTTTAGCAAATTTTGCATGTATGTTATAAACTTCAACCATTAAATTCATCAATAATACATCTTGGATTTGTAGCAATGATTTATGGACTGAAAGCAGGGGTAAATGTGCAATGTTTAGAAAGAAAAATGTAAATTTTCAGGTTAAAAAACAAAATAGTCTCATTCTGACAATATTCTGACTATGATTTGGGAAATATTGCATGCAAAAAGTAAATGGACTGAAAGCAGGAATGCCGTAAATGTGCATTACCATTATGTTAGAAAGCTGTTTTTCCCTAATATTTAACATGGGAAATCCTCACTTCAGCAAATTCACCAATCATTTATTTATCGCTCACACTATACTGTATTTGGTATGGTACTTGTAATTCGGATTTATCAGAAATGAAAATCAAGAACCAGTTAGCGAAATGCACATTTCATACATAAATGTACATGGAATACATGGGAAATATAAATAAGCATGTACATGTAAATCTTCATAAAAATCATTTTCTCACATTGATCTGTATATATAAAATCGTTAAGAATTCATGTAGAAACCACATAGATAGGCCTACACGTGAATAAAATTCATATATATCCAAGTGGACTCAGTTCATGTGGAGCCACGTGAAGAGAATATGATGATTCCACATGGATCAGATTTGGATTGTACATTCTTCCTCCCTTGTATCACTTGAAATAGCACTAGCCGTCGTATTACCAGACATTTGATTTTTAGTAAGAATATGAACTCTTGTCCAATTAAATTGAATTGTCTGTTTGAAAATATTATTTCTTGCTGTATTATCGTACACTCCCCTCCATAAGTTTGGCAACCTTAGCTCCCCCATTGAACTACGTGTTAAAGTCTCTTTACCTTTGAATTTTTATTTACTTAACCTGGGATGAAAATACTTATACTATTAATGAAAACGTAATTTGACTTTATTTCCAATACCTCCAATTTTTTTCAATTTTTTTCCTCAATTACGATAAGTCGAAAATTGATGATGATTTCGATAAATTTTTAAAATTCGACTTTCCCATGTTATCCAATGGAAAATGGTACTGTCATATGACAGAATATCGATCCATCCGAGTCCATGCAAAAAATACAAGTTAGGCAGGCAATTGAATTTGCTAACTTTATTTAACAAAAATGTATATGTTTCTTCTGGTTCAACAAAGTTATATGCTTTAAAGTCAAAATTGTTTTTCAAAAAACCTCTCCCATTGAAATAACACAGGAGGAGAAAAATGATTTTCAAAAATGACTTTGAAGCGCTGTAACTTTAGTATTCATCCAAGAACTAAACACTTAGTGTACAAAAAAGTTAGACAATTCAATTTTCTGTATAAAAATATTTTTTGCTGAATCTTTTACTGAAAAGATATTCTGATTTCTGATTTGCCCCAAACCCTCCATTTCCCATTGGATTTCATAGATTTTCAAAAATTCATCAAATTTATCATCAATTATTGGAAATGAAGTCAAGTTACGTTTCCATCAATATTGTAAGTTATTTCAGCGCCTGTTAAGTGAATAAAAATTCAAACGTAAAGAGGCTTTTACACATAGTTCAATGAGGCTAAGGTTGCCAAACTTATGGAGGGGAGTGTATATATAAAGGTTCCTTGTTCTTATTATTACTTGGCTTATATGTTCTTCATAATGTATAATATTTACTGATTAGCTGTAGTGGCTTTCATTACCTGTGGTCCAGGGTTTTTGTAATTGGAAAACCATATTGTTTTTAATTAGAAAGCCGCATTTGTTGCGGGGGTTTCACTTATTTTGATTACCCTTGTAGGTAAAAGTGGATAATGCAAATATATTTTATCATCATATGACTGTAAAATTATAAAATAGTAATTTATTTCCTTTTAGATGGTGATGAAACAAAGACAAGAAGATTTGCATTAGCTCCTAAATATCTTCGACTTGTAAGTACATTTTATATAGTAGGATATTATTAACTTAATTCATAAGGGAATAGCCTTGCCCAAGTTGGTATTTTTTTACTTATCTGATCTTGAATTATTATAATAGAAATCAAGATAAGTAAAAGGTTCCTTGAACAAGGCTTATAAGAGAAGAAAAATGAGTTTTGTAAGTCCACACTTAGGTTCTAGATGGAAACACTGTACATGTAATCTGTAGCCAAAGTATGGAGTACATTGTTGGAATAATGTAATAGCCTCACTAGTAATATGAAGTGTAACTTGCTTCATTGTATTTATCAAATCATTTGGAAGACTTCAGATGGAGGAATTTTTCAAAATTTGTTATTTGGTACTAGTAGCAGGCAACAGGCAATTTTCACCTGTTGTTATCACAAAATCGCCTGTTGTTTTAGGGACTTTTCAACTGTTTCATGTTGAATTTATGATTTCCATTAATTTTACCTGTTGTTTTCATTTATTTAGACTGTTGTGAGAAATTCTAGTGAAAACCCTGATTGATACCAATTTGATATTTGGTTCTCCAAATCTTTATTTTCTGGCTTACGTCACTCGATCCTAACATCACTGAGACATCTCTTACATATGGTGACATCTATTTTCAGAATTTGATACGTGGTCCTCCTAGTAGAGAAGCTGCATTATGTGCAGCTATAGAGATCCAACGTCATTGGCGGGGCTATTGCACTAGATGCCGTCTTCTTTCAATCCTTGACCCTAAGATCAGTGGCACTGCAGTCTACAGTGGCAGCAAACACCATGTGGCTAGACTGCAGGATGTTCGCACTCCACCACCTCAAAAGAAAAAAATGGTACAGTTTAATATACATGTATAGTGTATATAAAGATTGTTATTATTGACTATGAACACACCTTTGAGACAAAAACATTTTCTTCTAATCTTTATTGAAAAACTTATGCAACCTTTTGAATACTCATGCACACTTTACATATTAGAGGGGAATGGTCAAGATTTAGAATCAATCAGTGATTGTTTTAACTTGTCGATTTTCAGTAAGGCCATAAAAGTGAGAAACTTTCATGCATGAAAAGAAATAATTTGAAAATATTCATAATTTTAAAATCATTATCTTGACCATGGGCTTTGATCTAGTTGAAAGCCCATGTCTTGATCAAAAAGTTCTTTATTTACAGTGTGAAATTTATAATGGATGACCCTTCCCAACCCTCTGTATAATGCATGTAGGTTCATTGTGCATGTGCACTGCATGGTTATTATTGAATGCTTTGCAAGAAAATATACAGACACTTCTCTAATATTATGAGCTTTGCATGAGACTGAGTAACATCACAGGAGCCTAATCTTGAAAAGTACATACATATTCTCAGCTATATCTTCTATACCCCCCCCATCCAGTTTTCTGCAAAAAATCATTTCCAAGGGAAACTTGTGAAATCTGCAAGGGAAATTCCATCTACCCTTTGCAGAAATTGAAAACTGGGTAGGGTGGTTATTGCAAGAAGATATAAGCAGATATTACCAAAGAAATATATGTAGATAGCTGATTGTTATTGCATGAAAACACTTTTCAAAGCATGTTGTTTCTTTATTGTATTGACAGAATGCACGCAGGAGATTAGAGATAAAGTTCAATGACTCAGATTCAGACACGTAAGTATTGGATAGAAATGAAAAATTAACCATTTGAATTACAGTAGAACATGTCATAGTGAACACCCCTCACTAGTGAACACCTGTATCTGGTGAACATTATTTCCTGAAACATAATCCATTGATTTCTGTATAGAATCCCCCTCACTAGTGAACACCTGTCTTACCCTACAGTGCGAACTGGCCTCAAAAGTGTTCACTATACACAGGTTTTACTGTAGTTTATAAGTGCATCTTGATCTAATCACTTTCTTAAGGAGGTCATATCAAGTAAAATACAAACCATGGCTTTGTAAACCTGGTGATATCCTACTGATTTTGAATACCTTTCATAATCATCAAAATAGAGATATCTTTACTTGTTTAGGCTCCTCACCATGTGGTCATTTGAGATTAAAATATTTTGCAGACCCATAGTAGGGACATAGTATGGGTAAAAATAGCTTAAGCTATGTAACGACTAAATGAGGAAAATCCCTACCTATGGACTTTATCCTCATCCATGCATTGAGTATAATTGACTGGGCAATTAAACAACTGTTAATTATCTGTATTTGTTTCCTAGTAAGAAAATACAGTATAACCACGTACATGTAGCATTCACAAATTCAACTGATAGCTGATGGATTAACCTATTGTTTTATAGCCAACTCATTTAGATATGAATAGTACCTGCCACTTTTCTATTCATATTGAAATGAGTTGTAAGTCAGCTGTTGGAGTGAATGTAGTAACTAAAAGAATGCCAAATATGGTTGTTAACAGAGGGAGTATATCCACCTACCAAAGTGTAATGTGAGAGTTTTATTTCCCATGTTTTTATTGGCTTGTTATTGTCATCTTGTGCGGATGGGTGTTTGAGCCTCTGGACATCTTTTTTCCGGCTTTTATAGCCCATTTATTTCATTTACATTATACACAATATACATAATATTATATTAAAGTAGAAAAACTAGTGCCGGGAAAAATGCATCTGGACATCTGATTAAGTTTGGGGCATGCTGCGTAAATTACATGATGGCCATTGCCCAATTTGCTCTTCAAAGTGAGATATTTATCACTATATTTTTAAAGTTACCTTATGAAATCGTTTACTGTAAATAAATATCCTTTAGCAACTAAGCATATCTTATGAGTCATTTAAACAGCAAGTTTGAAAGGCAAAATAAGAAAACATGTATTGTATTTATTTCATTTCTTAGAAAAACCAATAAGCACTACATTGTAAGTTATCTGTGCCACCATGGAGTATCAAATATACTATTTAGTAGCTATAATTCTTTTGTCCTCTTCAAACACCTCTGTATGCACTTATCAGTTCATATTTCCTCATTATTACATGATGATGATCTAATATTAATGTGATATATGATATAACCATTGGATGAAATAATCAGAAATATTAGACAGGATGATATTAGGTCAAAAAATATCTTGTGGTTAGATTCAATATTTTCTATGCTGGAACATTGTTTTCAAGTTTACCTCAAAATACCCAGAGACAACATAATTATAGCAAGATGAGGTTCTCATTAATACATTGGGCATACTATGAAATTAAAATGTAAGTCTTTATTTTGCCCAAAAATCATTGAAAAGTCAAAAAAAAAATCCGAATTTTCCAAACAAAATAAGGAAGGCAATATAGGGCATATGGGGAAAATAGGATAACCTGCTTTAAACTTATCTTATTGTAGAACATACATATGTACATATGTACATATGTACATGTATATCTAATTAATGTCTGTTTGTCTTATAGATTTGAAGATTTTTGTGCTGGCTATATACAAAGTTGGTGGAAAAAGGGTCAATCACCACCAAAGACCCCCTCCCGATCCATCCAAAAGAAACATGAGAAACCATCCATCAAAAGAAATCCACCAACTCAGAAAGAGGCAGTTATAAAAATTCAACGAGCGTGGCGAAGACATATAGTAAGTGAAGTCAGTAAATCTTAACGCTCAGTTTGACAATCTGACAGCAGAGACCAACAAAGAATTTAATCATATACATGTACTGGTCCATTATGCTACTTGTCTTCAACAATACTGTCAATGACAATTCATTTGAAGGTGTATTTCTTCCAACCCCACTGAAGCTATCTATTATCCATATTTCGTAAAAATATGAAAAGTGTTTTGTTACGCTCAAAATTAATAATTTATAAATTCAAAATATTGTTAGAGACATATCTTTAACCAATTCTACCCACCATTAAAGGGGAAACATAAGTGGTGACATATTGTTATGGTCGCCAATTTTTCTGTGGAGGTATTTGGCTGTTGGTGATTGGTGTTTGGCATCTGTAACATTTTGCATGTTATGACCTTGTTATGTTATGTCATTATAAGAGTTACAAGTACATGTTGAATTGTAGGATGTTCAAGTTTACAAGTATTACCGTGATCTCATAAACTTCAAGTGTCGAGGGGACCCTGCTATGATGTTGCGCTGTATCAATCCAAAAGAGGCTAAGATGCTCGATCCAGCCATGGGAATACACATCAAGTTTAGGCTTGCCGGGGTAAGACACCCTTACGCATTCAAACACTGACATGACAGATGGCATGTTAATGTGAATACCTTACAGTAGTGTTATTGTGATTAATAACTACATTGTATTTGTCATCACCAAGATAATTCATGTGATGCATCAGTATCTGAAATTAAACATTGATGTTTCCTAAAAAATAGTTTTAAGGACATTGTATGAATTGCCTTACATTATATACATGTGTATTATCTCTCCTCTTCCAGAATGCATTTCCACCTAATATTTACTATAAGATCTTTACTCATCGGCCAATACAAGACCTGTGTGCTAACAGCCCTAAAGACTACACCAAACCTTCTGTCATGAGAAAAGCTGCTAAAGATGTGCATAATAAAGGGGATGCAAGAGTTAAAGAAGGTGCGTTTCTTTTTGATTTGGTTTGTTTATATCATTCTTTTTGAATCAAGTTATTTTGCATCTCCATTAAATTCTGTTTCACTATACCCCCAGCTATATATTACCCATACTGTGTATGATTCAGAGTAAAGAGCCGTATTCTGGGAATTCTTTTAGTAACTGGATAAAGTTGAATATTTGACTCCTTTTTATTCAGTGAAATGTAATATGTCTCTGTTTTGTGGAATATATCGAGTTCATCACCTTGACGCAAACCCACACATGTTCTTATTTCAGATAAGTCTGTGTGGTATAAGCGTGAAGAGAACAATGGCTGGCGATTGGTGTCAGACAGACTGATACATCACATCATGTCTGACCCTGTGACTTGGGAAACCTCCAAGAAGAAAATTGAATTCCATCACAATAAGGTAATGATCATTGGAATGTTCATTTGTTTGTTTCTAATTAGTTGTCAACCTTGCTATTATGTTATGTCACCACCAAGGCTGCAATAAGTTGTGGCACATTGTTATAGTTGCTCTTGACTCAGTGGTAGCAAGTCTTCCTCCGTTTTATGCGGTCCCAGGTTCAAAACCTTGTGCAGGTGATAACTGTTACGTGATGTTCCTGGCTTATTCATTCTTTTGTCAATGGCTTTTGTTCTAGAATGTTGAGAAATAAAATATTGTTCCTTGTTGTAATATTCTGTGCATTTTTTTGTACTGTAGTTACAAAGGAAAGCAGACCTGGAGAAAAAGAAGAAAAAAAGAAAAATAGATTGGATGAAGCAAATGTAAGTAATATTTCATATTAGTAAATGTATTTGAGTGTTATGTTATGAGCGTTTTTGAATACTGGATTTTTCTTGGGGAAGGTATTAATATATTTTCTAAAGGTCAGATGACCCCTATATGTGAAACCTCCTTATTGACTCTTTTGATGTCATAATTACTCGAAACCTTACCAAGTATATTATAAATATACCGGTAAATAATAACATGGGCATTCAATAGATAATGAAAAGAGGCAGGGTCTCTAAATAGTAGATACTTATTAATTTGCATACACACATGTGATGTAAATAAACAGTGGTAATATCACCTACTTGATGAAAATACATGAATAGGGATGCAGTTTATTTACAAAATTATCTTTTATTTGGAATAGGTAGAAATGATAATAGTAGATAATAGAATATCAGCCAATCTTAACAAAATGTGTATAATCAACAAACATTGATCATTTGATTAGTAAAATTTGTTTGGGTTTGTTGATTCAGGTGATCCATGTGATACCACAATAAATAGCCACAAAAACTACACAATTGTATGCAATGGTCTCCCAGAAGAGATACCTCTCAGCTCAATGACTCCCCACCCTTGCCATTATCTCCTTAGCTAGATATATGACCACTCTTTCTATCATTCCCTGTCCTCCATCTTATTTTCAAGGTATAAAGAAGGGATGCTCAAGTCTAAGACTGCTAATGAAGAGACCAAGAACTTAGTGGAACGTGCTACTGCTGGTATGGTGGCCACTGCTGAGATACATGGCCCCGATGCCATTGAAGAATGGGAAGTGGATGAGCTACTTGACTGGACTACTAGTCTCAATTTTGATGAGTAAGAAATAAGAGATGAGAGTCACAATTCAAGGGTCAATGCCCCTCACAAGCAAATAAGGCACTAAAAGTTGTACAATGTTGCTAATTGATGATGAGCTAAATCTATTGATCAAATTGAATCATCCTATTTATTGTATTATAGGGGTTCAATTTTTATATGGAAAATACTCCTAATGAGGCACTCAGTTTTGGACAGGTTTTAAAGTGAAAAATATTCAAAATGGGAGGTGACTTTGAAAGCCTTAAGAAAGAAAAATAAAATACATGTATAAACTTTAAAGGTTGTGAGAGAAAGTAGATTTACTGTCTGTGTATGTAAGATGTACAATATGCTATAAGCACCATCTTTATTCAATATTATTTTTATTTCAGTTATTTAGGAGAATGGAAGGAAATTGCAACTAGTGCTACATCAGAAAAAGTCATAGGTATGGTTTAAACACACACTGTAACAGACTTAAAGTGTCATACAGTGTCTACATAACCGTTTCCATTATGTCGCCACTACAAGTGGTGACATATTGTTATAGTCTCCAAATTATTTGTTGACTGTGTTTGGCGGTCAGTGTCTGTATATAACAAATGGCAGGTGGTGACATTTTGCATGTCAATGCCTTGTGTATAGATTTCGTCGTGGCCTTTATAAAATGCCAGTTTTATTTTATACATGAGCTTTTATTTCCACAAATCCCTGAATAACTTAAAGTAGACTTCTTTCATTAAAATTAAAATCATTAAAATAGGTAGGTTCACAAAATTAGCTTCTGAATGAATCAACTTATTGAAGAAGATTGTCAGTTGTCAGAATTTTCTGGGTTTTCTTGGCTATAATTTCATAAAATTACTAAATTTTATGGCTTAGATCATAGATCTAAATTTTTTTCTCATAAAATAAATGTGGATATCATAGTTAGTTAATCAATCATTGTCCATGTAGTTAGTCTCTATTTGTAAAATACAGTAATTTTTAAATATGGCATTTCTGTGTTTATTTTCAGAGGATAAGAGGAACTTATTCAATGATCAGGTTGATCCATTTACCATCAGTTTATCAGCATTGCCGTCTAGGGGGAAGCATACAAGTACACCTGTTTCAGCTCAAACTGCTATAGAACTAGGATATTAAACACTGCACTGAAACTTGATATACTGTACTCCCGGTATTTTTCGACACTTTTTAATTTCGCGAATTTTGAGAAATCACAATTTGATGCTGTTAATTTTCACAACTTTAACAATCCTCAATCTTTGTAAGTTTCCTTGCACTCCCTGAAGGTTTGAAATTTTAAAATGGCACAAATAATGGTTCAATAATGAACAGTAGTCATATCTACCCAGTGTCATATTTCCTCAGAGATTTCATAGGCGAATTTCGCGAGAATTATTTTTTCATGATTTTACCAACACCACGAATTGTGCAAAATTTAATCGCACACAAAAAATATCAGGAGTACAGTACATTTTTAGCACAGTAGTTCAAAAGTGTCAATTTCAACTGCTAATAGGGATATATGAATTGGACCAACAGATTTTACATTGTGCATTTCATCCTGTCTATTGCACATTGAGATCTTCTTTTTTCCATCATCACAAATTGCATTAAAAAAATTATCACAAATAACATTGAAATACGTTACATTCTAGGCCTAACTCTTTTTAAGAAGAATATTCTTGGAAATAAAATTGTATCGTTTTTTACAAAATGTGATATATTATATAATATATATGTAGCCTACAGGGTCATTATAATTTATATAATCTGTATTTTACAATGTACATGTAAATAGAATAAATGAATACATTACAGTGCCAAAATATATCTTAGACATTTTATTTATTAAAGTGGCAGCAAATGCTAGAGACTGAGTGTAAAATGTAAAATATTGGAAGTATATATGGATATAAATTAATGTATAACTTTTACTGCCATATATTGTATCATTGAATTTTGAGAAATTATAACAAGTTTATTAGAAGTTAGTCTAGATAGCTACAAGCTCTGTAAACCCCCTCTCACTACTTGACTACACAAACACGGTGGGGATAGTCATCACGTGACCTTCGTAATTGATGGTGTCTGAACAAGGTGTACGATTTTCTCGATTAAGCCAGATTAGTGAATATTTTTCATATTTATACTTTGTTAACAGCTTCAAATTTCTCCCCACTTATGTATACTATCTCAGTCTTTCAAATGAACCTAAATTGACAAGCAGAGGACGCATATTATTTGAGATATGACTGTTTTTTGTTTCGAAAAATGATGGTGCCTGAACAACTCTAAAATTCTGTATGATGGTGTCTGTACAGATTTTTTAAATACACGAGATGGATACCAGTCTCCATGTTTTCATGTGTAATTGTTTATTATATACTAAAGTGTATGCATTCCTATACTCTCGTGTATTTAAGGCTTTGTATTACATACCTAGCGAAGCATTTGTATGGAAGTCAATGGGAAAGTTAGCGAGCTATATCCACCGATATTGCCCGATTACCCCGATATAGCCCGCTTACCTCGTTTTGATATTAGATTTCTTTAATAACCATGATAATATCATGACGTCACGTCATTGATACAAAGTAACCATGGGAACAAAGGCATGTAATACATCAGTTATGTCACTATGACGTGAAATATGCCTTCGTTCTTGCCCAAATATAGAGCCTCCCAAGGTCGGCCTATATTGGGAGAACTCAGGCATATTTCACGTCATAGTGACATAACCTCTAAGTATAAAAACCTAGTACATGATACAGTCTTTGAAGGGTTCAATTTTTAAAAGATAAGATCATTCAATCTTCGTCTATGCTGAATTGTAAATGCATTAGTGCACTCGCAGGCCTACATGTATGTCTTACAGATCTAACGTTTGTTTTGTTATAAAATAAGGCCAGAATTGCAAAATTGTTTATCTTTACTATTTTATCCTTCATCAAAAGAATCTGTCACTATAAGTGTCACTATAAATAAGCTGCCCTGTCAACCCTCATGCATTAGGCGTGATTGTCTCGCATTTGCTGGAAAAAATGAAATCACGCATCAATTTTATGTGTATGATAAAATGTCACGCAAATCACGCATTATGTTGATATTTAAAAGAACAGGTCCATTTAACAGACTATTGGTCAACTTAAATTTTTTCCAAAAAACTCATTCTTCCATTCACTTTCAAAACCGATTGCAAGTTGTAGATAAACTTTTTTTCTTGAGGTGTGCAATTTCAAATAGTGGAATTAGTTTTCAGTTTCTTTGAAAAATTGGCAGTAAGAACCCCTATCACAAGGCTGTCTGAATATGGGTACACACTATGCTTACCTTCAAAATAATATTAAAATTTATGATTACATAGAATTTATTATACATGTATGGAACATATGGAATACAAGCATTCGGAGTACAACATTAAAAAAATCTAGCTATGTGTGAAGTTTACCAATGCAAATCTGGAAAACATTGTCATTTTTTGTTCACTTTGTTATCAAGTTTTAGCATGGTGGTCATTTCCTTTCGTTGAAAATTTAACCATCAGCCCATTCACCCACAAAAAAGATTTTGAAAATGTATAATGCAGAGACTGTAAAGTAGCTTCTCTGCAAATATCATCGTTTTGGGAGTGTGGGCTCCTTTTGTCATTTATATCCATTGCAAGTACAGACTACATGAGAACATTTTTTCTGAAAACATAGAATTTAGTGACATTAATTATAATTTTTTTGAATGGCCTAAGTGTTTTTCTAAATAGGGAATAAGTAGAAATTATTTGCCATTTGTACATGATGCTGCCTTATATTTTATGATATGTATTGAATTTCAAATATGGGAACTGCAAATTGGCAAATAACTTTAAAACTATAAAGTCTCCATACAGACATTTAATTTCAAATTCCAATGTAGATGCCAATGGGCGAAAATTATTTAGAAATATTTTATATAACTTTTTTTGTTAACATTTTTTGTTTTTTTAGGGCAATTGTTTTTGCTCCTTTCTACCAATTCTTGAGAATGAAAAATGTCTTTCCGAACCTTGTTGGAACAAAATAGCATATACATCATGTTTTAAGACCTCTCAATATTATAGTTATACAAGGGAATTATTGGTTGATTTTAAAAAAGTATTCAAAAAATTAAAACAAAATCCCCCAAAATAGATAAAAATCAAGATAAACTTTTCATTTCATGAAAAGATACTTTTTTAAAATCAACCAAAATTTCCTTTGTATAATTACAATATTGAGAGATCTGAACATATTGTGTTTATGTCGTTTTGTTCCAATAAGGTTTGGAAAGATGTTTCATTTCACTCTGGAAACATTGCTACCAAGAACAAAACAAGTGTTTGATGCGTTTTCTAAAACAATAAAGATGAAAGTATATATATTATATATATTTCAAATTATATTGTTACCATTCAAAAGATGGCCATTAAAGGGTTCCGATTAGCATCCCGTATAAACAATATGGCGGCTCCAGGCGAATCAACTGGATCAGTCCATTTTTAAGAAATAAGGGGAGTTATGTAAAATCCAGTTTATTGAAATTGTCTTTGAGTTAAAGTAATCCGTTTATAATGATTTTGAAAACGTTATCCAAAGAGTGATTGCGTTCAAAGAATACATGTACAACAGCCAATATAAATCCTTGTATTAGAAACCGGTTTGTCTTGCTTTGTTTCATTTGTAGGATATTTCATATGCCAAGCTGTGTGCTATTACGTTATGGGGAAATTTAGATGCCAATTTTTCCTTATTATACACAAATAGAATATCCTGAAACTTCACCCATAAATGTGGAATTGATTTGTCAAAATAAAAATCACCCTTTTATAAATGTGTGACGATCTATAATATACTTATGCTGTATAACAGTTAGAGGTGTTGACACAACGACCTCGAACCTGCGAACCCTTGAGTATTATTCCGGGATTGGGCCTTTTATACTAAACGGTGAGCAACACCAGAAACGAGCGTTCGATTTGCTAAACGATATGCGTCACCCTTTAAGTTGAAGATTTGTTAAATTTTTAGATTTTTATGACTGGTTTAGGAGAAACGTGTGTTCAAAAGGTTCTCCATATCGATACCACTCCTTTCTAGATTGCTGACCCAAAAAGTGTACGTTCTCCCACTATATCCAATTCTAATTCACAATTATCACATATTCACATATATATGGTGTCTGTGTGAGATATGTAACTTAAATGAAATGAAATATTCGATATCAGTCTGTCGATTTTTAGAAAAATTAGAAATTGGTCAACAAATTGTATAAAAATAGAAATAGAAAATAAAAATAGAAATAGCATAGTTGTATGTATACCTCATTTTCATTTACCTCCATTTTCACACTAATATTAAACAAAGCTTACAAAGTGTCGATGATGAAGAGCTCAGTGCTAAGCCTACAATCACTTTAAATTGATTTTGTTATATTTTTAAACAATGAGATGTTCCTATACCAATCTATGAAAAAATGAAAAAATACAACAAATACGGCGATTCATTTTATTAAGTGACACATACAATGACCTTCTGGATTTATTTTGGCTGCAGGCTGTCATATCATCCGGCATTTACAGTTTTGTTCAATTACATTTTAATATCGAAATATCTATTACATGTCATGCATATGTTGCAAATATCGTCATTTAGTACCCTGCGTGCAGAGTCTAGTTAAACTAGTCTAGTCAAATTTGGCCGACGAACACTGATTGGCGCGGTGAGTTCACAGGTTTATCTTAGTTTGAAAGAGTGAAGACGAAGCTTTCTTTTAAGAAGTGAAGTCAAACGAATGCAAAGGGTAGTCATTTAGTTGATTATTCATCCATTCTGAACATCACAACTAAAATAATACATAGGGAACAGCTAATGTCATTTATGATTAATTATCTGTTCTTGTTTCAAGCCAAATAGCAATATTTTTTTTTGGCAGACAAATGTTCTTTTGATTTTTCATAATTAATCGTTTTAACCTTAAAAGACTTTCCTTTCATGTCATGAGTTTGAATTACATGTGATACAGTAGAACTATTGGGAATAAACATGAATGTATTTTGTATTTTAATGACACAATCCGACTAATAACATCAAGTTTCCAACTATAATCAGCACAAAAAGTTTTATGAATCAAGTTCCGACAAGTAGCATTACTGTTCCAGTACGATCAATATGTCCAAACTACATCCATTTGATAAGTGCTACCGCCCAACTCCGAGTCAACTAGAAGAAATATAAGTTCATGTAGTTTTCTTATTTGTAATACTTTATTTCTCATAAAACTTCATATTGAATGCAACAGTTGTATTGGGTAAAAAAGTAACAAGAAAAACAACCCCAACTATCCCAAAGTACAATCGATTCCATCAAGACTGGGCGCTGTAAGTTTTGCGCGCCAAACTAGCTGTGAAACATTATCCCTGTTCCAAAGGGTAAGGGTCACTCTTTTTACTAAAATGATCAATCATCAGGGGGAGGGTCCAGATGACCGTTTTATGAAAAGGATTGCTGACATTAGGGCTAATCGATGATTTAATGATAGCGGATTCAAATAACTATCAATTAACTATGTTGCAATAAATATTGAAGTTTTGTCTAAAAATGCGGATCTGTACCGGATGGGTACCACATGCGAAACAAACTCAAATAGTATTTGAGAGGATAAGATGAAAGTTGTCCACTTGTTTATTATTGCGCATTTATGTGCTATGGGAGTTTTCTGTCAAGGAAAACAATCAAGTAAGTCATGGATTTTCAAAGTGGCTAAGTTTCTTTAAAAAACAAAACGAGATTTTAATGAACATATAGTGGCTTCATAGTTCTATACAGAGTTTTAAGTTTTCATAAGCATATATAGGCTGTGCTACATTTTGTTTGGATTGTAATTTATAATGCTAATACAATGCGTATATATCACAGATGACACTGAAATGCAATATTCAACACTACCTTTTAAACAAAGAATTCAGAGGTTGAAATACTGAATTTAGAACTATAATGAGTGTTCTGGTTGTAACAAAAAACACGCATACATGACGTGCAACATTATCTCATGTCAATGCTTTCTATGCTTTAATATATAGCAAATATTTGCATGTGCCCCCTCTGTAAGATATAACCCATTCCCAAGCTCTTATTTGGCGTTAATAAAAGTTCAAGACAAAGGGGTTCGATTAGCGCAAGTTGCCATGCTTATTCTCTTGGGGTCAAAAGTATGGATTCATGTCATAGAAATTGGCAGACACATTGCTTAACGATGACGATTAACACGAATTTGGAATAGTTTATGAGGAAGCTGTGTTTAAAATATTTTTCAGATTCAAATGGTTTTGCAGTGGGAAGTAAAAATCGAGTATTAACAAGATTTAAATTCCCTTAACAATAACTGAAAGATGGTCGTCGGTGATATTATATAAATAAGGATATAATCAGGAATACATATGATTTATGTCTTATATATCTACCAAGCTTGGTGATATGACTCCAACTATTTGCTGAGATGAATGGCTTGAAATTTTCATTCATCGCCCTTGCATCATACTTTGTATTGGACAAATGTACAAATGATGAATACGCATCATCTGTCAGCTATTAAAATATATTCTCATTTCATACGTTCTAAATTTATAAATTTATAATGAATTACATTACAGTCTGCGCTGACATAGTCTTTGCTCTAGAGACATCGTGTAGCGTCGACGACGAAACTAAAGCCCTCGCCAAAGTTTTCATCTACGATTTTGTGACAAGGTTTGATTCTGTAAAACAACAAAATGTGAGTAATGTTGCCACCCAGTTTGGGTTGTTAGCGTACGATGCCACATCACGCATTGTGTTTACATTCAGTGACGCTCTATCCAAACTAGAAATTCTGCAAAAGATCGAAATGTTTAAGATGGAAACAACAGATTGCAAAACTCTGACTCATAATGCCATTAACATGGCACGATATGATTTCTTTGAGACAGCATTTAACGACAGACGCACTCCCGATGTGCTCGTTGTTTTAACAGATGGACGAACACAACCTCAGAAATATATCCCAGAAACTACGGACGCTATCCAAAAATTGCGGGAAGCAGTACGGACTATCGTTATTGAGTTACCAAACAAGAAGGGGCGTGAAATGTTACCAGACACTATTGAACAACTAAATACACTGGCTGAAGCTAAAGATCGGTTTAAACTTGATAATAACTCCGACATAGAAGATATTGCGACTGGGGTTTTTGATCATTTGTTAGAAAAAAGCGAATATGTTTGCCCGCCAGGTAGGTTTTATCTACGTTCACGAACAAATTAAAGTCCTACCTCTCAATGCTCAATTAAAATGATAAAGTATATACATAAAACCCGGGCATAAAACACTGGAATTAATTAATTCTAGACATTACTAGCTCCCTTATTCCAAGCGCTACAATTTTTTTTTTTATATTGCACGTTATTCTAATAGTACACTAATTGGGAAACTTTGTGTATTAACACTAAAAAATACTTTAAGCTTATAGTTGAAGTAATTGGAATATGTAAATAATTACTAGGAATGTAAATTATAACTAAACAATAGGTCGAATTAATCAATTTTGAGCTGACCCAGTACATCAATCACGAAAAGTGCCATTATACTTCTTCACCCAAAAGTGAACATAGCAGGGACTTCAGCTAAAAAAGAGATATAATGATGGTAAACCCTCTGTACTCAAGCTGATCCAGTGCATCCATGTCACGAGAAGTGCCAGTATACAGCTCCACCCCCAAAGACAGCACAGCCAGGACTTGGGCGGTTTAGCCGAGTCAATGTAATGCTTGATTGCACGTATGAAGAGAATTGTGATATCCAGTTCCTAAAAGACTTTGCAGCTGAACTTGATCGACAACCTAAATGCAAAATGTATTACCCTTTAAAGGTGATTGAAGTTATTTTACCCCGCCCTATATTCTACATATGCGACGAACATGGGTCTCTATGTGACTCTGAATCCCTATTTGATTACTTTCACTGACTTGCTGTAAGTTTTTCGTTTGAATTTGTTAAGCACGCACAACGCCAAAAGTTAAATTAAGTTAAAAAGTGATTATTTATAGGCAGTTGCAGAGAATCGTCTTTATGTTATCTACGGATGTGAAAGTGCAGGGTATCTACAGAAGGCTCTCTTGACAAAGGATTCGCGGTTCAAATGTCAAGTACAACCAATTATGGACTATCATGACTTTGCGATACTTACTCTTGGTCTCAATGTGTCGCAAGAAATGACAGATGCTATTATGCCAAGAGCTTCACTAAAGTGCGAACATCTGATAGCTGTATTTCGCGAGATTGAATACCCGCCAGGTGTGAGATTACTTCATAACTCACTCTGATTGTTCATTTGTCCAAAGTAATTGATTTCAACTATACAAAATACTAGCTTTAAAAAGGGTTAACAAACAATATCCTGAACTATGCTGTGACGTTCATTTACAAAAACAACCACAGCCCCTATCATTCATGTAACTCTAACGTGTCATTAATATATATTGATTGCATTAACAAATATTAATCATCTACATATGTTTCTATGCAGGAAAGACCTTTGAGGAAATTATGACTGCCTGGAAGGAACATGCGCGGGTGCAATTTTCGTTAAAAGGCACACCTGGAGAAGAAAATGCAGAAGTGTTTCATTATGTAGGCGAGAGAAGGGTAATGATTCTGATTAACGATCTCTATACAAAATTATATAATGCCTATAGAATCCCAACGAATCTCTCCTTTATTTGAAATGCAAATATTTCCTATACTTGGAGTCCCATGGCGTTTTCTAAGAACCAAAGCTCATGACAACTGAGGCCTTATTCATCAAGCTATCGCAGTCTTTGCGATGTCGCAGTGTTGGCGATGTCCGGGCGACATCGCAGTGTAAGCGACTGCGTCGTATTCATCAAACTATCGCAAGCCGATCGCAGTCACGCCCACTTTGGCGATGACCCTGCGATGTCGCAGTGATAGTGTGGGGACATATTGTCGGCCTAGGCGCGTCTGTGCGTCCGTCTGTCTGCCCGATCGTCTGTATGTCCGACAGATTATGTTCTCCAAAACCAGCTACAGATATCTCCTTCAAAATTTCAGGGTTAACTTGTGCGATCAATTTCAAATTTTCAAGGTTGACTTTTAGTTTGATAAACTTCAACTGATTAGGTTTTGGCCATTCTTGGTAAATGTTAAGGCGGCCATTTTGGACTTTCCGTCCTAAAATCTTGTCTGTAAAGTCTTGTCTACGCGTTTTCAGGCTAATCGTTTCACGGATCAATTTCAAAATTTCAGGAATGCTTTTTAGTATGCAAATCTTGAACTTATTAGGTTTTAGGCATTCTGGGTAAATATAGAGGGTTGCCATTTTCGATTTTTACCCTCTCCCACAATTCATCCACTTAAAAAATCTATTGAAACCACCCATTGATGGGGACATGTCGTACACGTTTGTGACCGCTGCCATTATTATGAGCACCTTGATTTCTACGTTTGTGTTTTCAAATATTGCATGATCCTTATAAGACTCAATATTAAATAATACTACGATAAAATATTACCTTTGTTGTATTGAACGAACGTTCCTCGAATTTAATAACATCTGGAACCAATTCGCTTAGTGCAAGAGTTACCTTTGTGATAACTCTTGATACCGTTGGCTGACTCACTCCTGCTATGTCAGCAACTGACATCTGCAAGGACCCTGTCGCCATGTATCGCAAGGTGCAACACAACTCCTGCAGGGGAGTAAGGGTAGCAGATCTTTCCGTTATCCGTATTAGATCAATCATGTTAAGGACCCTTATTAAGGATACCTATTGCTCAACACCCGTTTCCATGGCAACGGCACCTGTTTAAACACTAATCATATATCACACATCATAGACAGTTGTCAAAGCTTGGCATTGATACCAACTTTTATCATAGGGTCAAAATACTACTAAAGTTATGATATCAATAAGAATGTATACAATGGTAGAAATTCGCCAATATTTTGTCATTTGCGATAATGCCGAACTGCTGATAATTTCTGTAACTCAGGCCACAATTTAAATCACCTTTATATCATAATATCTCAGAGAGTAAATGATCAATGTTTACAATTTATATACCAAAATGATCGTGAGAGCAGTAGCTTTCATTTGATATACATAAAGGTAACATTTGTAAGCAATTGTGATTACACAATCTAATGGTGTTAATAATTTCATATGAGACCAACTGTTTTTCATTCAAAATAGACCATTATGACATCACAATAATCAAAAAGAGGAGAATATGTATAATCTTAAGTTAAATGTTAAATGTTGAAGATAAACTTAAATTCTTTCAATTCCTTAATTTTCATTCTTTCAAAGTTGCACATTGACTTAACCAGATATCCCTTGCAATGGTGCTGTACTTTTTATTCTTATTAAGGACATCTTTTGTTCAACGCCCGTTTCCATGACAACGTCACCTATTCCAACCCAAATTATTTATCACACGACATAGACAATTCTCTGAGCTTTGCTATGATACCAAGTTTTCCCATAGGGTCAGTTGAACTATTAAACTCATAATTTATTTCTTTGGCCTACTCGCCTATTAGTATCGTCCTTCGAGGCATGCGATATCGCTGGATTAAATCAGTATCATCATACATATCCAGGGGATTCGAACGATCTCGGAATATTCGCTCTCTGCGGAGTGCTCTCCTGTTATGCACCAAGAGCAGCTAAGCCATTTTGTAAAATAGCAGACGACAGACGCAAAGACCTACGTCAAATACCACGTGGTAATGACCATGACATGTCAAAATAGTCATGCATGATGGAAGCTGCGACCTCCTTGCGATCTCCATCATTAGTGGAACGTGTTAAATGAGATCATAAAACAAGACAATTTTGGAGCTTAAAAAGTAATTCTTAGACTCGAAAAATCATTTCCAAATTAAAGGTAAATCTAAATGAGTATCACATTTAATGGTATGACTAATTTCATGACCAATAATATATATGAATTCTGAGTTCTAACCTATTTATTTAGCTCAAATTTAAGCGATCTCCGTGCGAACGGGGGTACCCTGTCGCACGTTTTAAGGGGTTTTTGGTCGCAATCGCTGCGACGTCGCACACAAAAATTACTCATCGCTTCTGCGAATGTTTGATGAATAAGACGTGATCGCCAAAAGTGTCCCTTGCGAAGTCGGTGCGACTGCGATCGGCTTGCGATAGTTTGATGAATGAGGCCTCTGGTCCCCAACTGGTACGTCTCTTTATAACAAAATGGACGAACTAAGATTCGATGGGCTGAGATTTGAGAAAGTATAATTTGAACTTTGTCAATTTAACATGTATCTCAATGGGGAAAAGGTAAGATGTTTTTCCCAATTGCAAGAAGGAGGTCGATTTGTATCCAAATATACAACCCGTATGTTAAAAGTGACATCCTGTTCCTGAGAAGGGAATCGGCCACGAGTTCCATCCAGCGGCTCCAATAATCGAGTGAGAAACCCCTCGCCCTTGCACAAGGACATTTATAGGCTATAATACAACGCAACCAGGACCTTATGCAATTCATCAGATAACATACCGGTAAAATATTTTGATACAAAAGTACTGTCAACCCCCAAAGATTTTCTTGCGGGACAGATTTTTTAGACCCAGTGCCCAAAATTCGCGGGATTTTTCGGGACATCTACTAAATTCGCGGGATTTCGCGGGACATTTAAGGGATTTGCGTGATTGCGCTTATAGGCCAATTTTTTTTATCAAATTCGCGGGATTTCGCGGGACCATTCGAGGGACAAACACCCTAATTGCGGGACAGTTAACAGGTTTACCAGCAAAAACTTCATAGAGGGACAGATTTTCTAGAAAAAGTGCCCTAAATTTGCGGGATTTCGCGGGACATCCACCTAAATTTGCAGGATGTCCCGGGACATTCAAGGGATTTGCGTGATTTGGACTAATGTAAAAGCGTGTAAAAGTACTTGAATCAAACTTTCAGATTCTGATTAATCAAATATAATGCACCGTTACATTGTAACTTAAATAAACGTCAACATAATTTCACAAAATACGCATAGAAATATTATTAAACTTTATTGTAATTTATCAAAAACAAAAACCATGCTTTAGGTGTGAGTATCGTAATCTAACACGAAATTCAAAAATTTGGAACAATACTTTGCACTTCTCTGCTTCTGGCGTCGTGACCAACTACTACCATACTGTAGGCATGGGCTTTCAATTGAAAGCCCATGATATAGGGGTTCGATTAATCTACATCAAATTATAGGGAATGAGGTTACTTTTCTAGATAGGGTTTGTAGAAAAAACCGGGTACCGGATAGTAAATCCTCCATGCTGGGTTCAAACTTGGTACCCGGTCGAAAAAAACCGGGTAGAGGAAGAAAAGAGCCTTAAAATATGCTTTTTATTTGAAGCTTCTAGCTCAATTTTGAAGGATGTTACATACATTTTTGTAAATTCAAAACAAATCGTACACGTTTTCTGATAATCTAATTATGTTATACTCGTATATTCGTATTTTTCATTTTTTGGGTACCCGTTTTTTGACCGGGTACCGGGTACCAAGTTTGAACCCAGCATGGAGGATTTACTACCCGGTACCCGGTTTTTTCTACAAACCCTTTCTAGATATCAGCGTCCATTTATTGTAACTCGTGTTTGCTAACATTTGCTCAGTTCTTAGATGAAGGCCACACGGATAGTAAAAAGGCCAACGTTGGAACTATTTGTGACCTACATCCCTATTGTCGTAATTAAAATGGAAGTTGAACCCTTCCTCTTTATTTTGATACCAAACAACAGCATGCTAGAAACTTTACTCCTCAAAAGTGCAAAAACTTAGCTTCTTATAAGATAAGATAATCACCATATAGGGGATTGCAACAATTTCGGAAATTCGCGGAGGTCAAAAGCCACATTTGCGGGACTTCGCGGGACATTGCGAGACACGCGAATTAGCCTAATTTTGATCGAATTCGCGGGATAATCCCGCCATTCGCGGGACACTTGACAGCTCTGTACAAATTGACCTCCTTCTACGTGAAAATGAATTTTTACTCAGACTGAAGTTCATGCATTTTGTTTGAAATGCGCAACGTCTTTGTAACCAGGTGGGGACTAGTGATGACGTCATTTGTTAACGACATATCTTGTTTCCACAAAGCTACCATTCAATTCACGTGTTTTACTCATATAGGAAGTGATATTTCATGTATGGGACAGTCCAGAAGAATTGGATAGCATGGTAGTTGGTGGCAACGGTGGCCAGGATTGGGTACTTCATAGGAGAGTAACGTCCGGGTTGACGCATCGGACAAAATCGATGATTCACTTAGACTGCATATGCAACGTATGATTGATTAAAAGATTTAAGCCCTGGGCTCAGCGCATTGTTAGCTGAATCATACCATGAAGGTGTTGTTTCCAAATCGTTGCATGACTGCGCATACTCCCATGCAGTGCTTGTCTTCAACATACTTTAGTATACACTGCATGGGAGTTTGATGAGCGCGCAGCGGGAATTGTGGAAGAAAACATGTCAAATGGAAAAATTATTTTTGAAATCAAAGTCAAGGGCTAGAGAGAAATATTTTAAGCCAAAACTTTAAATTGAAGCAACGTGAATTTGATAAAATGTATAGGCGGTCTAAACGTTCTAATGAAGCAAAATTAAGAGACATATTGTTAAAATGTAGACAATAAATCCTAAGCAAATGTGAAAAACAAGTCCGGAACGATTTCCATTGGGTAGTAATGCTCACTGTGAAATTGAACCTGACTAATAATGATGAATCGAATTCAACTCCATCTAGGTAGGCAATCATTTCTGAGAAATAGCTGTTCTATTTCCAGTAAATTCCTAGATTGCTGTCCCAAAAATGTACGTTCTCCTACTAATTCCAATTCCAATTCTAATTTACAATTATCACATATTTACATATATATGGTTCTGTGTGAGATATGTAACTCAAATGAAATGGAATATTCGATTTCAGTCTGTCGAATTTAAGAAAATTAGAAATTGGTCAACAAATTGTACACAAATACTTAGTAGCATGGTTGTATGTTATGTACCTCATTTTCATTTACCTCCATTTTCACACCATTTGGAAACAAAGCCTGCAAAGTGTCGATGATTAAGAGCTCAGAGCTGATCCTACAATCACTTAAAAATTAATTTTGTTATATTTTTAAACAATGAGATGTTCCTATACCAATCTATGAAAAAATGAAAAATAATTCGCATATATGGGGATTTATTCTCAAGATTTTCATATAATTGCCCATGAGAATTTATTCAAAATATTTTTATTTCCATTCACATGTCTTATTACCAGTCAAAATCAAAATTAAGCCAATTGCTTTCATTTCTTGTATTGGAAAACGGCAAAATTTTGACAAAAATAGCATCTTTCAAAGTTGACCTTTAAACCACCGTAATGTCAAGGTCAAATGTCTAAATTCTCAGAAATCACATTTTAAGTAATAAGTCATACTTCCCCTTCAATTCCATGTCAATATATACTTGTTTTGTAGGGGGGGGGGGCTAAAAGAGGGGTTTACCGCCACCTGTCCTTTGCTTTTTATAAAATGCCGATACTGTAAAAACGAACGTAGAAAAAAGGCGAACTCATTCCGTGCGGACTTTTCACGCGAATTTCGTATGTCACGCATTTGCTTTGAAATATGTGTATATGTCACGCATTTTCTTCGAAATATTTTGTACCATTTTGAATGTTGACTATGCTCGTGCTACAGCAAATGTACAAGGTGGATTAAGAATATAACTATACAATTGAATAATAACTTAAGAAGGAGCATTATACCCAGCTCATTTGAAAGAATAATTGACTTAACACAGGATATCAACAAGTCGATACATGCTGATATCCACATGCTAAGTCAATGGAACCAAATAAAATAATAAAACAAAAACAAAAAAATGAAATCAAAATCAAACGTTAAGGTCAAAATTGTCCTTTGCAACATTACACTGCAATAAGTATTTAAATAAGTATTTATCATATTCATACCTGAACACTATGCCATAATTAACTCTCACTAAATACTGTGGGAAAATTAAATATATGCCATGTCAATTTTGTAATTTTATGTAAGGGCGCTGAGTTGCATAGCAACCCGTCATGCGCAAAATAGATGCGCGTTATACTTGTGTCGTCTGTCGTCTGGAGCACATAATTTTTCTCAATTTCGGACAGGATTTGCTACCACTGTAAAGGTAAATTACATGTTATGTTTATCATAGTATCAATTGTTATAATCCAGAGATTACCATGATGCGTTTATAATTTAAAGGTAGAGTGTAGATTTTGTGTATTTCTGACGCATCTTTTGAAAACATTTTCTGCTTACGGCAGCCATCTGTAAATTTACGAACGTAGTCAAACTTAGGTCAAGTTAATTACTCTTTCATATTTTAATGTAAACTTTAATTAAAGTAGTTTTTATATAAATATAGTGTGTTTATTATGCATTAGCCTGGATTTCCAATCCCATTTCAAGTAAAAGGGGCAATATAACTTGTGATCAATTTCATGTTTTTGGCGGGAGTTTAGGGGAAAATTTTGCCGTGATTTACAATTTGTAAACCCCTAGACGCCATGTTTTTCAATATTCATCAATGGCGGGGCTGTGTTGAATTTTGTCCGGAAGAAATTCAATTTTAATGACCGTTTTTGGAGACATAATGGAGACATCAATGATAATTTAATTGCGACATTACATTGAAGAAACTTCAGAGTGAATTTGAATTACCGGCGCTCAAGTATTTACACGAAAACGTAAGTGAAACAGTTCCACTGATATTTCATGAGTTTATTGTCCATTTAAATATCACCAATGAGGTTGAGTTAGCTCGTGATCCTGAAGAAGGGTCATTTGGAGGGACTAACTTTATATAGATGTAAATTGTTAGCTCGTGATCCTGAAGAAGGGTCATTTGGAGGGACTAACTTTATGTAGATGTGAATTGTTAGCTCGTGATCCTGAAGAAGGGTCATTTGGAGGGACTAACTTTATGTAGATGTGAATTGTTAGCTCGTGATCCTGAATAAAGGTCATTTGGAGGGACTAACTTTATGTAGATGTGAATTGTTAGCTCGTGATCCTGAAGAAGGGTCATTTGGAGGGACTAACTTTATATAGATGTGAAGTGTTAGCTCGTGATCCTGAATAAAGGTCATTCGGAGGGACTAACTTTATGTAGATGGCATGTATTATGAGGGAATAAACTGTGTTGCAAATAGTTAGCTCGTGATCCTGAAGAAGGGTCATTTGGAGGTACTAACGACATTATAATAGAGTAGAGATTAGATATTTTGAAGATGTAACTGATAAGTTTTATGGAATTAAGTCTTTGATTCCCAAGATCATTGAGATTAGAAGACTATTTGATCAGACTTTTGATATAGAGACTTTTTGAATTTTGTGCCTGATTTAAGATCCTGAAGAAGGATCGGGATCATCATTTTTGATACTTGAGAGTAGTTGAGATTGAGACAATTGTGATCAGTTTGGATTTAAGCATTCCTTTGATCTTTAAGAAACATAATCTCCGAGATCACTGAGACTTTTTGGGACTACTTGTAATTTTGTAATTATTGGACTCTTTGAGATTTTATTGAGGATCGCGCTCATTCAGTGGAGTTAAGAACTTTATATTGATTTGTAAGAATAAATGGAATAGACACACTACCAAAATCTTTAGTTTTTTATGTTATGCAAAGGAGTTGAAGGGACTTAAGCCATTTTGTTACGTCTTGTGATTTCACAGCGACGTATACCTGTCATACGTCACCCACTTGTAATATAGTTGTTGACACAAATTACCCTTCGTTTGTACAAAGTCCGACATTGGTGGCAGTGGTGGGATTTCTGTGTTTGACGCAAGACTACAATTAGCATAATGGCAGAGGGAGGGGATCCTAGGGATCTAACAGTATTCTTCAAAGGTGAGGGAGGCAGTGATCGTATGGATTTAGATGATACTCTACCTTTGGAAGATGAACATCAGCGTAGTAGGTTAGGGGTAGAGGCTGAGCTGCAGCGGGACCAGGAGAGCCATGATGTACCCGGAACGCCCCTTCAGCCTACAGTTCGGAGGAAGGCTGGGTTGACAATGCAGAGTGGATATCCTGCATCCTACAGTACTGGGTATTGGTCGGAAGGGCCCAAATCCCAAATGATCTCTGGGTATGAGACTCCTACACGAGGAATCCGACCCCTGGGATTTCCATTGACATCTACTGTAGATCCAGCCGAAATGAACTTTCTTCCTGGGAAGAGGGAGCAGACTCCCCAGGATTTAAAGACTGTTTTAGGAGTAAGTGATGATAGCCACAAGAAGAAGATGCCAACTGATCATCCAGAGATGGGTGATCCAAAGAGGAATATTAATCCCTTTGAGAAGCCAGAAGAAGCTGGATCAGAAGAGTCAGCAAGAAGAAAGTGGGAAAGGTGGCGATACCAATTGGAAGATAAAAAGTCTGCTCCAAATGCCAGAATGAGACGCGAAGATAACCAAGCTAAATATCCGAAGTTTTCTATAGGGGAGGATGGCCCTGGACGATCCATGGGAGCGGAATCTGCAAAGATTCCTGAGATCAAGGATCAGATCCCATTCATGAGAATGAAACAAATGCCCAAGATGGGTGGAGTAGAGCCTATGTCAGTATTAAGAAATGGACGGGATAACAAACCGAAACAGAGAGGTGTTGGAGATGTAGCCGGAAATTGGAAGAGTGAACCGAGGAGACTAATGAAAGATGAATCTAGAGGGACTTTGCCGAAGATGGGCAGTGGTCATTTACGTAATGTCAGCTTTAATGATGAAGAGGGACCCTCCCTTCGAAGAGAGGGGGATCCTAGCTTTATTCCGCCATGGCCATTGAGGAGGCAGAAGCGATTCTACTATCCCAATGATGACACTGAACTACCAGAGCAGGAGATGCCCCATGTGTATCAAGGTGCACCGATAAGATCAATTGATCAACTGGGAGCAGATCTTCATGGTATGGCTGGGATCAGGAAGGAGACTTTTTCCGACAAACTCCCTGAGTTCGTAAACCAAGATGTACACAATGAAATACCGGTTAGAGACACAGAGAATAGATATGGGATTTCCAGCAATGAGTCCAAGAAGATAGAGGAGAAATTGATTGACAAAGGGAGTGGCAGAGATAGTGATCCACCCGAGTCCGAGAAGACAGATCATTTGTTTTATCTTGTCAAACAAACCCTAACCATGGCAGGACATGTAATGAAATCCCAGTCGAGTAGTAAGCGGGCTCGGATAAAGCCAACACAGACTTTTGCTGGAACTTCTTCATGGCCAGA